AAAGGAAATTCAAGACCATCTGTTTTAAGAATCAGATTACTGCTGGTAAGGGAATTTTCGTGGTAGTATAATCTTAGGGTAGTATCTATGAGGACAGTGATGCTTTCAGGGGTGGCAGTGACTTGGTTAAGCAGATCTTTTTTTCTTCTGTGAAAATGGTGGACAGCCTTTCTGTATTGAATTCTACTGATAAGTGAGAGCAGTGTCACCATTAAAAGACTTTTTTTTGGTCATTAACTTCACAGCTCTTCATATGATCAATCTCCCTGATGGTTAACTGCTCAAAATTTAGTCTGTCTTCTCCCACTTTACTGCAAAGCAGTTAGAGGTTTAGAGGTAATTTTAAGTTAAGCAGTTGACCAAGGTTGTGGAGTAAATCTTTTATTGGTCATCTTTATTAGCATTTTAACCCTTCAGTGAACAGTATAACCATTTAGTTAACATATATATATATGCTTATGTTATACTTAAGAACTTATATAATGTTATTTATGTGTAGAGAGGCACCCGAAGAAAAATTGTCTAAGAGTCAGATAAGTTTTACATAAACAAGCTTGGTATTTAGAATGATACGTAAATTTTAAAAGGTGATTAAACCTTTTAAGCACCAAGAAAGATAAATCAGCTATATCTATCCAGTTATTAGTACAGCCTATTGGTTCACCAAATACTCATATTGAGTTCAAATATGTAGTGACCTACAGGATCAGTGGGGTAATTGTTAGGTAGTCCCAGTATTGCAGGTAATGCATTACTTCTCAGGCGTTCTGATTTGCTTTGATCTTGAGCACTGGGATATCTCTATGACTTAAGTGTTTGTCACCGGTAGTATTTTGCTTTGGATCGGGAATACACTTTGAAGCAAATCTCCTAGTCTTACCAGTTCACTAGATTTAGTTCTATCACTTAGGAGTCTCAGAGTGCATGGTGCAGATTTCTTTCAGATGAAACTAAACCAAGAGATGCTCTCTGAGCTTACAGCTCATGTTCAGTAGCTAATGGCTGTCAGCCACAGGACCAGGTTATAGCTAGTGTGAAGTAAGTGTAAGTACTGCTGACACACTTGCATTGTGGACACTGGATCTTCAGCAGCAACTGCTCTGATCTGCAGATCTGTACCTGTAGCACTACACTGCTCGTTATTGCAGACGTGGTCCTTGCTGGCTAAGGTGGTTGACAGCTTAGGCCTATGTTCTGAGCAGCCATTTTGAGTTCCTCTCCGGTTGTCACCTCTGTTTCTACTGGTACCTCAAACCAAGCTGTGTATTACAGTAAAGTCCTTGTCTATGCTGTTACTTCTTATAAATTTTATGTGATTTCCTTATTATTTTCATTAAGAGTCTTGAGGAACTACTCTCACAGCAGGTGTCAAAGCAAATGTCTGTTTTTTTGGATTTCTTTAGAAGAAACATAAAGGGACCTGAGCTTGCAAGTAAGACTAATGACACAGTGATTGAAGTCAAATATCATGTGGGGATGCTTGCTGTGTTCTGTAGAAAGATGTGGAAGAGGCCATAACCCATTAATTGGTTTGCTTTCCTGGACTTTAATTAGTTTTTCGTTGAATTTAATGTTTGTCACTATATTGAAACAGATAAAATATTTATCCTTGATGGATAACGTATGCTTCACTATTTCATTCTATTATGGGATCTGAACAGAGCACTTTGTATTTTACCCTCTCATTCTGAGATGGCAAGAGGAGACACTCAGGAAAACCCAGTCTTCAAGGGGACTGAGACTATCAGAAATTGAGAAGCACTATTATCACATTCAGTGATGAAGTACTGTTTTTGGAAGACAGTCTTTTATCCTTTTAGAGGCAAATTTCAGAATTGGTTAGGAGTATTTAGTAACTGTTCAAAGGCGATAGTAAACAACCCATTAAAAGTCAAATGGGACTCGAGCTATAAGCAGCAGAGATGATTTTTACAGCATACCTTTTTTGTTTTTATCTAGATTTACAGACCAATTACGATTAAGACAGAAATGGCTGTTCATCTTCACCAAGCTGATCTCCTAGTTTGGCTCTTAGTGTATCCACTAGTGATTTTTTCTACATCAATGCTAGTAAACTGCTAGCAGCAATTCTTCCCTTTCTGCTGTCAACCAACGTTTATTCAAGTTTGACCTTCTCTGTATCAGACAAGCATCACTCATGTCTTCTGATGTACTAGCTTTAATAATATCTTTTAAGCATTATACAGCATATCTTCCTAGAGTGTGCTTCTGCAACAGAACACCCTCTAGGTTGAGCTGCTGCAATATTTGGTTGTGTAGTGATAATTTTAGCTTCTGGGCGCAGCACTTATTATTTCAGCGTAGCTTATTTTGTGTTTTTGTTTTTTTGGTTTTTTTGGGGATACACAATCTACTTTAATTTGCTGCTTTTATTTGTATTCACTTTTCGTCTTTTATTTCCTTTTCTTAGCAATTATGTATTGATCTCGGAATTGTCTGAAATTAATTGTTTCAGAATTCAGAGGAGGTTGGCTTTTTGTTCTTTCTCCTGTTCTCTGATTGTATAAAATGAATACAGTTGCTATAAGCAGGCAGTGAGACAGGTTTGTATGTCCAACACTGGTTGGATTGAAATGAGTATTTACACTCGCTTGTGGAAACAAATAATGCCATTTATTTACTAAATACATCAGACGTCAAAATCTTGTATAGAAATAATTACCTCCTTAATTCTTACGGGGTTGCATCAGGATTCAATTTCCATACAGTAAGAAGTAAGGCTTCAGTTTCCATAGAGTAAAAATAAAAAGACTTAATGGAAATAAAATAAGAATCATCCCTCAGGGTTAACGAAGTGAATGTTGCACTGTTCTTCGTGCATGCATAAACTTTTTTGTTTATCTAAACTTTAGTCGTTTGCTAAAATGCGTGCTCATTTAAGTCGATCATTACCATCTACAGATGTATCTGAAATGTCTAGCCTTGTATTCCATAGATCAAAGTACAGTCAGGGGTCTTGTGCTTTATCACAATTTGTCTCCTGTCTACATCAAAGAACACTGCTCTCGATTCTTGTAGTCTTGCCTGCTAAAGTGACATGCTCGTTGTTTCTGCCTACTTCCCTGTTTGTTTCTAAACTAACAAAACTCCTTCACAGTTGAAATTATTTTACCCATGCTGAATTCAGAAGAAGAGTTAAGTGCTAAGCAGTGTACAAACAAGCTTTGTCTCTGAAGACATGACCATTTCTTCGAGAAACTAGGAATGTTCAAAAACTTTCTGGGAAATTTGCATTCAGTTGCATGCTGTATATATACAGTATGTATTGAGAAAGGAGTCCATTAGACTGGTGCATTTCTTTTCAAGTACTAACTGCAAAGGAAAATGATGTAATAAATATGAAAGAAGGATGATTGGGGCCTAGAACATCTGTGCTGTGAGGAAAGGCTGAGAGAGCTGAGCCTGTTCAGCCTGAAGAAGAGAAGACTGAGAGGGGATCTAATCAGTGTCTATAAAATACCTCAAGGGAGGCAGTGAGGAGGATGGTGCCGGCTTCTTTCCAGTGGCGGCCACTGACAGAACTAGAGGAAACAGCCAGAAACTGAAACACCAAAAGTTCCACAGGAACTTAAGGAAAAATTTCTTCACAGTGAGGGTGACAGAGCCCTGGAACAGGCTGCCCAGAGAGGTTGTGGAGTCTCCTTCTCTGGAGATCTTCAAAACCCGTTGGACGCAGTCCTGTGCCACGTGCTCTAGGTGACCCTGCATGTGCAGGGGGGTTGGACTAGATGATCTCTAGAGGTCCCTTCCAACCTTAATGATTCTATGAAAAGCTAACACATGGTCAAGCTAGTTTGGCTAATTTTTTGCACTCCCAAAGGAGGAGAGACTGTTGCAAAACTGAATTTTCTGTGGATTGAAGTTTGTCCTTAGCACATTGCTAATACCTAGTAGTTCAACCCTGTTTTACTTTCTTGAATAATACAAAATCACATATAGTCAGGCCAATGCAACATTTTTTGAGCAGCTTAGCAGCTGCGGGTTCTGTTGTGGCTGCTCTTGTGCACATGCTCCATACTGATCACATAAGTAGCCTCTAAAATTGGTGGCACAACAACAGAGCCTCTGTTTTTCCTGGGTGATGAGTACTACAGTGTATTCACCTTAATGCTTGGCAAGATATTTTTTCTACATGTAGTTGTGATGTGCTAGGTAAAACTGTTTAAAAATGTCATTAAAAATGTCATAAAGCACACTGTGTGTCTGTGGTATAGATGGTCATTTTTTAAGGTGGTGTGAGGTATCTCCAAACATCTGAAAAATATTGAGGCTATTTAAGGAGTAGGTAGAAAATATGTTTTGCTTTGGGGAAGGGGGCAAAAAAAAAGATCAGTGAGGTGACAGTTGAAGCAATGCAGGGCCATGTGTGCAGTCTATGATATGAAGTGTCCAAACTAAGCAGAAACTTGCTAATGAAATAGTATATAAAAATATTTTGAAACGACGAGTATTTTAAAATTGACAGGATGTGAAATTGGAGGTAGCTTTTCTTGTCATCCCATAGCTCCTGTATTTGCATTAAGCAATTTTTAATTATATATATTTTAAATTCATACAACCATCATTTTTATATGGTAGTTATGACCTGGGGTAAAGATCATTTGTGCAGCTGTCATTTCATTTTTCTTGTAAATGAGAATTAATGTGAACACTTGTACTGTATTAAATATATGCATTTCTTTTAAGAATTATCTGAAAACCTGGCAATTACATTGAAATGGGATGTATAAACTATATAATGTCCAACCAGATGTACATAAGTGAAAGGGGTTGCTATTTGTGGAAACGATTTTTCTTTCTTGTCAAAATATATTGATAATGATCTTGCTGCAGTAGAAAAACTGACTATACTCAGGTTCTGCTTCTCTTTTTGTTCCTGCATTAACAAATGAAAATAGTAAGCTTTTCATAGCATAAGTGATATTTTTAGAAACCATTTTGTCTAACCTATATTCCTGTTCTTCCCAATTCTCTTTCAGATAGCAGTTCTGTGGATGAAAAGGTTTATAATCATGTATTTATTATAGGGATCATGTAATTTGTTGATGTTTGTGACCTATTTGATCTGGTTCCTTCATTTTAGTTGTGAAAATTGCATGTTTTTCCCAGCTTTCCATTCTTTCGTTCTCCTTTGAGTGTATTGCAAATGTGTTGCATAAATACATTATAAACAGAATAAACCTCACTGTTGTGCTTATCATAATTTCCAGCACAGGGGTCTGCTACTGTCAAACATGATATCTGAGATTTTAGCCTCTAATTACTATCTATAATGCATAGTCTTTCAGACTTAGAGCAACAGTATGTGGGAAGCAGTGTCTAATACCTTCCCATGGTTTCTACCAGTGTTGTTTTACTAAATGCTGAATGCTACTGTAATGTGTTCCAAAGCAATAGTTAATGTAGCTTTGGCCTGGAGCTGACCCTGCTTAACATTTTTCATATTAGGTGTTTTATGTTTTAAAATTTGTCCCAAACTTATAAAGAACACCTGAGTGACTGTACATCATTTTGGTTTGTTTGTTCATTCTTAAAGGCTCGGATAGTAAGCGGAAGTTCCTTGGATACATCCAAGCTTTATGCAGTCCAGGCATTTGCTGGGTAAGTACAAATATGGCTGTGAATTCTTGGTTTAGCTGCAAGTTATACTGTAGTAATTTTTTTAAGGTTTGCTTTTGTTTCCAAATCTTCTACAAAAATAGAACTGTTTCAAAATCAAGGTAACAATGTCATAGTCTGGAAGTGTTTTCTTTCTTTCCTTCTTTTTTTCTTCCGTTTTTATCTTCTTTTTTCGTTTTTTTACTTCTCAAAATAAACTTGTATAGCAGTTCAGCTGTACAGGTCAACTGGAGGGCAAAATTTTTGTACCTCTGTACAGTGAGTTGTTTTCTGTGTCTGCATTTTAATAAATGTGTAGTAATATAACAGTACCATTCTAATATTTGAAATCTAATAAGGCAAAATAGATTTATTTCAGTTGCTGAAAGAGAATGAACATGGCAGAAGCTTGGATATCTTGTTTGGTTATCTCTGGATAGTTACCCTGAATTTGTCTCTAGAATTTCTTTTGCAGAAAATCTTTCCTTTCTCTTTTGAATTCCTTTTCTACTTCCAAACTGAATAATAAAAAGAGAGTAAAAGCCATGGGATAAATTTACCATTTCTTAATCTTAAATATCTAAAAAGGATATTAACACCTTGGTGGCAGACTACGTAAGCACAGTTTCCCGCGGTGATGCTTTGTGTTAGAGTTAAGGAGATGAGATCAAATTATCTAATTTATATTAAATCTTCTAATTTGGATGTCTTAAGAGTAGACAACAGAATCTGGATTGTACTAAGCTTTTCTGTGACCTCTTTTTTTTTTTAGCTAGCTGATACTAATTGCACTAATCTACTCGATATAATTCCTTGCTGTAGAAGGTTTAATTATGGCAACATTTGTGCTTGTCATCAAACAACTTGATACAAGTTCAGGTCTACATTCAGCTTTACAGTGGCTTAGCTGGTTTCTGTGTTGTTCATTCCACCCCCTAGGATTTTCGTTACCCAGCTGGAAAAGCTGCTGCTAGCTGGTGCAATAAAAACTAGTAGACCATCAGTTACATTGTACAGGACTTGTTGCTGTGAAAGTGTGAAACACTTAAATGTTGTAAAAGATAATTGTTTAATTTTGTTAGTAACTTGTTCTTTAACACTAGACTAAAATGATAGTGTACTTCTTTTTCCTTGCTCCCAAATGACACCTGGTTTGCTTTTACTTTGCTTCTTTGCAGTTTTCACATAAAGTCAGGAAAGGGAATTCTCTCATGACCTAAGTTCCAAAACTTTTGCCATATTTTGAGCAGTAAATACTAATTCTTGTTCTCCCAAAACTACTTCTCTCTCTTTGAATGGGCCTTCTGTGTACTTCACTAACCTGCTTCCTCCTATCTCTTTAAATTTTAAAAACAGATCAGTATAAGTGCTGAGATTTTTTCGTATTTATTTGTGAATACAAAAGTCATTTGATATATTTTGGTCATTAGCATTTTGTTCACTTTGTTCGTTAACGTGAGACTAGCATCATCTGAAGCAGTTTCATTTCCCTTGATAGATAATTGATTTAAAGGTCTATTCAGTAATATATTAGCCACAAAAACATCAGCTCATTATGTCTCTGTTCACGTGACTCTTGTGATGGAATTACCCATTGATTTCATCAGAAGGCCACACTGACAGCAAATCATGGCTCTCATGCATAGACTTTCAGTTTGATGTATGATAACTTGGATTTGTTGGCTTCTTTGCTGAAAAATTAATCTACATTAGAAGCAGAGACATCAGTGTCTGTTACTCAGTACATCAACTTTTTTTAGGCATATTCACAAAGGAAGGTAGACTCTCCTTTTCTCTCTTGCGCTGTGCAATGTCAACTCATTTTTACTACTAGGCTTTGATGCCCTTAGTTTGGAATAATTTATGACATGAGGTACTACAAATAATAGTATATTTCTCCACTGAGAAGCAGGAATCTGACATCTTGACAACTGCACTATAAGCTCTCATCAATTGAAATTAAGTATTGTCATTCTCAGAAGCATTAGTGTATGGGACTAGCAAAAAAAAGATAGTTCTTAAAACTGTTGTTGTTTATTCCTTTCAGCAGGTATTCTTAAGAATTTAAAAACTAAGTTTATACGAAAGAGAGAGAGCTAAACTATACAGTAAGTAGATGTTAAGGGTCACATTCTGTGAGCAGTTTGTATGTGAAAGCACTGAAACAAAGTATTGAGCCCTGTACCTGCAAGAAGCTGTAAGACAGTACAGTATTTCTGTATGCATTGCCTGGGTAGGTGTAAAACTTGGAACCACAGAGTACAAGAGTGTAGACATTTGTTCGTTAGTTGGTTAGTAAAAGCAGATTAAAGACCAAAAATGAGTCTTGGAATTAAGGAGACCTTTTGATATCGACAGAGACCCCATAGGCCGAAGTTACTTTTGTTTATGCTCTCCCTTCCAATCATGGGTTAAAGGATTCCAGTACTGAATCCACTGAGGAAAAGGTGTGTTAATCCTTTGTAAAGGCATCCAGTAGCCAGGATGTATGTACGGGCAGCCAGTGCATAAAACCACTTCAGATGCAATGGCTGTTTCTCTTATCCTTTTATTCATGCCTGTATCTACAGATTGCCAGTCAAAATCTTAAATAAGTGATCAGATTATTTATTGGACTGAGTCCTCCTTTTGCGTAGTACCTGCCTTTATACTTTTCCTCTGTCTTCCCACCAAACCCAATGCATGAATACACAGGCACTCATACAGAAGTGAAAATGTAAAGTCTTAGTAAAACTGAAGAGCAGCTGGAACATAGGTTCTATTTGCATGGTTTGGAGGTTTTTTGCTAGAGTGGCTAAGTCTTCAGACATCTAGTATTAGGTTTTACCCTTGAATGCCTTTTGTTGGTCACACACAAAGCTTAGATGAAAAGGAACTTTCATTTTACACCCTTCTAAAGTTCCCTCTACATGCTCTAGATATGTCTACTAAAAGGAAAAAATATTCATGTATATACGTAGCCTTTTCTCCTATTCCCATTTTTAAACCACATGTTTGACAAAGCCATAGTTTCTAAAAATACAAGACACTGAAGAGAAAAAATAACATTAGCAGAAGAGTTATTTTTATATTTGAAAAGATTCAAGACTGTTAACAGTTACCCAGAGATATAAAACAGTCAGGATGCTGACCTAGGTCTGGCCCAGTTGCCTTTCTCCTCTGTGCACCTTCTGCGCTTTTCTTGAGTTTCATGCTTAGACCTTTTCCTGCCACTTTCCCCTTGGGGTTTTTGTTGTAGAGCTCAAAAACAACCTAGATTTCTACGCAGCCTTCCTCATTCACCCTCCACTGTCACAGTAACAGTCTTAATGTTGTTCTCATGTGAACATTTATTTGACAGCCTTACACCTTTCTTTCCAGCTGACTTTTCTTCCTGTAACTTTACAGAAACTAGATCCTGTGGCTGTGAGAATACCTTTTTATTTGTGTGTTCCTCATACCTGAAACTCACACACCCGTGGGCCTGAAATTAATACTTACACATTTTACACTGCAAACACAGCCTAGCTCAAATTCTGAGTAGATAAACTGCCTTTGTAAAGCCTAGTCTAGCATTAAACTTTCTGATAACTTCTTCAGTTGACCAGGATAAAGATTTTTTTTTTCCCCCTACAGAGGGATTTGGTTCATTTTTTCATTTCTTAGTATGGTATTTTTAGCTCCTTTAATCCAACTTTCATTTGCAGAGAAATGCTGGTATTTCTTTGGTGCCATTTTAGTACACTGAGGACCAAGAAAAGCTCTAAATCTAGTCCTATAATCTCTTCTATAATGTTGATATTTTCTGCCAGTGGTCATGTCTCCAGCAGGTCGAGGGAGGGGATCCTGCCACTCTACTCAGCCCCGGTGAGGCCACATCTGCAGTATTGTGTCCAGTTCTGGGCTCCACAGTACAAGATGGATGTGGAGCTGCTGGAGAGAGTCCAGCGCAGGGCTACAAGGATGATCAGCGGCCTGGAACATCTGCCCTATGAGGAGAGGCTGAGGGAGCTGGGCCTGTTCAGCCTGGAGAAGAGAAGGCTGAGAGGGGATCTAATCAGTGTATATAAATACCTCAAGGGAGGAAGTGCAGAGGACGGAGCCCTGGAACAGGCTGCCCAGAGAGGTTGTGGAGTCTCCTTCTCTGGAGATCTTCAAAACCCGCTTGGACGCAGTCCTGTGCCACGTCCTCTAGGTGACCCTGCGTGTGCAGGGGGTTGGACTAGATCTCTAGAGGTCCCTTCCAACCTTAAGCATTCTGTGATTCTATCTACAGTTTTACAACTCCAGTATGAACTTTGCACCTACAGCAAAAATTATTTATCAGTACCCAAATATGGATTTGTGAGCCTTCAGATATTTTAAGGAGTGTGACTACATTACCATTATTAATTTTATTAATCTTTATGGTTCCATTCTTATAGTTCTTTTTATGAAAACTCCTGGCTACATTTTCTCATTATGATATACCATTGTTGATGCATTTCAACATCTCCTTTCCTTACCTGCCCATGATGACATCTTCACAAAAATTCTGAAACTTGGCTGTTGGCTGGCAGTCAGCAAAAGTTTAAAAAAAAAAAAAAAGAGTCAGTGAAACAAAATCAAGTTCATTACTAGTTACTAAAGCTACCTGGGACTTCTAGATGCATGGTTTTCAGCTTCATAGGTTTGAACAGTATAAAACAGTACTCACCTAATTTGAAATACCGTATAGAGTACAGTCTCTGAGAGAGTCCTGACCTTTTTGTGTTTTCATCATTATTTTGAAATGGAAATGAGTTAAACTTCACTTTTGCACCTAGTTAGAAGACTGGTTGTCATATCAGTCTTCCAAATTTTTATGCCTACTTCTGTTTACTACTTCAGGTCCATTTAGCCGTATATATGTACAGGGAAACAGGAATTATTTTTGAAGTGATCTATACCCTAGTATAAAACTAATATTTATTTAAACTACGGGCTTAATTAGAGGCTGTGGACATCTTTTCACTAACTTTCTAAATCTTTACTTAAGACTTGTATGTTTAAGAACTGTGGGAAATAATCTCAATAAAGTTTAATTATGAAGAGTATTTTCAATATAAAATCAAAAGTCTTTTGGTTCTTCTCTTACTAGGAAATACTGTTTACCCCCCTTTTCATCATGTGATTGTTTGGTGCCATATGTTTAAAAAAAAATAAAGAGAGAAGATGACTAAGTTACTAATATTCAGAGATTAAAGATCTTTCCTAGAAGCCAAAATGGTCAATAGTATTGGGGGAGCCGGGTATGGTGCTTTTAGAGTTTAACCTCAGTCCTTTTAAAAATTCTTGGAAAAAGATTCTTATCGACTCCCTTGAGTCCGCAGGCTTTGAGTTAAACCTATAGATCTTTGGTAGTGAAGCCAGCACATATCTTGTGAATATGGATATCATTATTGATATCTTCATAGATATGTTGAACTGCAAGGATTAAATGAATGTGTGATGATCCTATCTTAGATCCAGTCTTTCAAAATCCGTATGAGAATCAGTGTTCAGTGTCTTTGTTTATTACAGGATACAAGAGCTATTTTTTTACTTTATGGGATTTTTCCATGTCTCAAAAGCTACAAATGTATAACATCTAGCTTTTGATCCTTAATATTTGGCAGCTGTGATGAGTAGCATTTTCATCGGAGCAACATTATCTACAGGATTGGAGTGTGCATCAGTATTTTCTGACTCATTACTTTTTGGTACTAGCTTTAATGGTAATGCTTCCCTTGACAGCAATTGGTGTCTCACATCTGAAGCACAAATTTCAGTGTTCTCTCTGCCATACTACGTATTGGTTTTGCCCCAGCTGTTCATACTTCGGTTTTATAAATCTATTTCTAATTGCCATTTTGCGTTTTTGTCCCCTGTTATCTACAACTATTAAAGAAAAGCATTCTTTGAACTTAAGGATAGCTTCTCAATTACTTTTTGCACTTTTTCTAATTGTATGGCTGTCCCTTAGTTTGTTAGGCGAGATTTGCTTTCATTGCTTCATCACTCTTTTAAGGTGTTATAAGGTGTTATACTTGTGTCCAAAAAATCTTAAAAACAGGACTTTGGGCAAGAAGACACCCCATTTCATTACATTTCTGTCTCCCTTCTAGTGTCCTCCAAAGTGGGAAGAATTAATAACTTCGACAGCTGCGAAAAATACCAGCATGTGGGCTGAGTGGAGCTGTTTTGGCTCCATAGTCCCAGTTCCCTGAGAAGTTGCATAGACATACTCACCCGTGTTCGCTTTCCCTTTCTCAGTTGTTGTGATTTAAGAGTGTATTGTAAAAGTGACCAACTGGAATACTCCCCATAACACAGATAGCGTGATCTCATGTCATTGTCCCTCTCAGTCTTTCTCCCCCAGGCTAAACTTTACCTGAGCTGAACTCTTCAAAGGCCCCTTGATTGGGACGCTGCAAGAAAGCCAAGTTGCTGCTTTGTCTCTATTGAGAATTAAGAAAGAAATAAATATTGTCAATATATTGCTGTTTCTTTCATAAACCTGTAGGAATAGTAAAGATAGAACATACTTTATTGTGACAAAAATGATTGTAGGTTTTGGGCTTTTGAAAATGATAGGAGCAGCAATATAAGGACTGACCAAATGTCCATCTAACCCAGAATCTTTCAAAATGCACAGTTGAACAATTTGAGGAGGATAATACAAGTATGCTAGTTGCTATTCTTCTGAAGTGTCTGGGAGAATAAAGCATATCATTACAGGAGCATTTTGTATTCTTCAAGGTCCTATTGTTGCACCAGTCTTGTGTTCCATGATGTATCTCCAAGTTTCCTTTCTTGTTCCTTCAAAGTTGCAGGTGAAATCTAAAATTGGGAATTAAACGTGTGTTTAATAAAACAACTTAATCAGAGGCAAGAGAAAACAGTAATATCCAGTACGCCACGAGTTAAAAATTGTAGCCAGAATTATTTTAATACATAATAAAGTCTGTTTTCCTCATTCATATGAAACCATATGAAAAGCTCTGTGTATTTAATCAGAGTTTTTTACTTCATTTGTATCAAATTTACAAGTCCTTTTGATGGAAAACCCCTGCCAAACCTTTTAAAATACATGATAACGTGCTTTAGGAATTATAAAGTGACATTTGAGCTATGCCGTGAGAAAAGTCAGCCATGCCAGAACACATTCCTTATTTTTTGTAAAAATGAAAAAAGATCATCTTTAACTGACAACTGTTTTTTGGTTTTTTGGGGATTTTTTTTAAACTATACACATGGATATTATAACCAGTTCTTCTCAAGGATGCAAACTCCAGATCTTACTTTTCTTTTTTTCTGTCCACAGAGCTGGCCGTGGGCTATATGGAATTGATAGCATGCCAGACCTGCGTAGAAAGAAATCTTTTCCCATTGTTCGAGATGTGGTAAGTGATCTCTGATGCCATGAAACTGTTTATTCATTTGCTTGTTCTCTAAATCTTTATCTCAATTGCTGTTGTATACATAATTGACAGTTTGTCTGCACTTCTTATAAGAAAAAAGTAACCTGAGAAAATATTTATGTATTTTTTATAAATTAAGCTTATTTACATGCTGTGTGGAATAATAAACTGTTCATTCTAATATTGAGTTAGCTTATGAAAATAGCTGTACTTTAGTGCTTGGGATTTTTTTTTAAATGAAATTGAAATGGGAAAAAAATTTGTTCTCCACCTCCACCCTAAAACCGTTTTTGATATGAAGTATTATAAGATTCTTCCATTACTTCCTATTACGTGATGGGATCTGCTTTATCACTATCCTTAATGGCAAAAATAGTCTAGGCAAATAAATTTTAGCAAAGAGAAAACAATTAAAGTTCCTTTGTAGTTTATTCTGAATTTCATTCTAGACAAGGTTAAGTAGAATCTATCTGCTCTGGGGAATTTGAAGTGCTGTTAACCTTTCTCACTTTCCTTTTGAAAAGTACAGAATTCAGTGAAATACATATTCTGTGTCTGGTGGTGGCACACTCCAAAACCAGTTTCTCATTTCTAGACAACTGGAGGGGAGGCAGCCAAAATAAATGGTTATTGTCTTCAAAAGATAAGCTTTTGTCAAATAATAGTTCAATGTTTTCTTAACAAATCTGCCTATTTTCCTAAACTGTGACATAGTATGTTATCTTAAATGCAACAAGAGACTATACTGCAGCAGTTTTATAGCAGAATTACTTCCAAAATCAATTAAAAATTCTCTTTGCCATTCATGACACAGTAGAGATGCAGTGGTTGGAAGTTGCCCTTTTTTTATCAGTAGCCGCTCCATTATCAGTTAAAATGCAGGTGTGATTTACAGCCGTTGTACACATATATTAAAACACATTTTGCTTTAGTCTTAATTGTTTATAGTCAGATACATCGTAAATGATCCTTTTGTGTTTACTTATATGATTGTTTCAGAAGTGTAGAAATATTGTTCGAATCTACTGGATTATTAATATTCTTTATAATTTCTTTCCTCTCTTGGCTGGATTTTTCAGGCTATGGTAAGTGCTTTCATACTGATAAATGTTGCAAAACATCATAAATCTTACCGATTTCACAAATGGCGTGTTTTATGATGACCTTTTATTGCAGATTAGAAAAAACTATTTATGAGAAGGAATTTTACTGCAAGTGAAGTTACAGTTTATGAGAGTGTCTGACCTCCACATCATATATTTTTGAATTATTTTGAATGACAAGGTTTATGTAAAAGCAAGAGATGGCCCCAAACAAGCAAAGAGAAATACTTTGTTATTAAGGACAGCCTTGGAAAACTGATAGCAAATTCATATCATAAAATCATGGTAAATTGCTGGGAATTTAAAAGAAAAGTATTTTACATCAATATATTAACTGTAATAGGACAGTGATGAAACATTTTTTTTTTATCCTAAGAATGACTTCTTACTCTATCATTAGTTTTCCAAGATGAATAATTTGTGTCTGTCTGCAGGTTCAATTATTATCAAGGGAAACTTTATGAAAATTGGACTGATATGCTCTCAGGATAAAGTAAACATTCAAAAGGAAAATGAACAAGTCTTAAACTCTTGAAATAAAAAAATCTGTTTAAGTTACGTCAATGTTTAAAATTATAAAATGGGAAGAAATTGGTCATGACACTAGCCATAGACAGTATTCTCTGCTGATGTAAGCCTAAATAGTTTTTGACCCAATATGTATTTCCTAAAACTAAGAGTGTAATATGGAAAATATAATTGAAGTTTTGTTATGATTGCTGTGTAATGTACAGAGACCCAGTTCATGCTGCATCCGTGCAACAAAGCCAGTAGACTTGATGGTTAGTGAGTGATGTAATTGATCATCCTTACGCTGCTCCACTGTAAGTGCAGCGATGCACGACAAAGCAAATGCTGGATTAGGGAGAAGAGAGGTAAAGAATAAGACAGACATACTTGGAGTGATTTAGGGTGGATGAGGGGAGGATGCAGCAGCCCAATTTTGCAAATAAGAATGCAGTAATGCAGCAGTGTTATTAATATTTTGTATAGCAAAACAAATCTCACCTGTTTCTGTCAGGCCAAGAGGGCTCATGATAGCACAAGTCATGTTCAGTGTTGGAACAGTATTTGGGATACACACAAATCTAATTTCCCCATGTGCTTTTTCCTTCTGATCATTATATCCTCTAATCTTCAATGATCCATTTAAATTACAGAGAGATTTAAATTACAGGAAGATTAAGGAAGATATAATTTCTTTCTTTCTTGTATATTAAAAATAATTTGTTTGGAATGCTTTTCTTTGTGCTGTGCTAGAGCAAATGGGATAACTGCAAAACCAAGGACTAGGCAGGTGTTTGTGTATGATCATGCAGGCAAAATAGAAGAGTTGGAGTAATCATTGGATGGCTTTTTCTTCCCTTAAGAACCATAGAATTTGCCGATATAGTGACCTAAGAATGTTGGATGAATACTGCGTGTCTTTGACAAAAAATATGTTCTTTTTTGTCTGTAATAAGGTTTCTTAAACTCATTTTTGGGCAAATAGTATTTTACATACATACATACACACACCTCTGAAAATGCTCAGTGATTTACAAAAAAATTATCCAGACCAACAAATTGAACTATAAGACTGTTACAAAATGATCTCCCATGTTTCTGCAGCCAAAACAGATTCCCAGTTAGGGTAGGCTGCCTATCTGTGTACCACATTAATTCAGTTGACAATGCAGAAAACAGGGGCAACCTGTGGTTTAAAAAAAATGAATCATAAACCCTGAATTAACTGTATAAGAAGTGGCAGCTTAGATGAGAAAGGTGGTAATGATGATGGAAAAAGTGTTTCCATTATATACCAAAGCCTTAGAAGTTGTGCTCTATAATAAACTAAACTAAAAGATATTCATAACTCCCCACGGTTTTGTTTAAACCCCACTAGGGAGCCATTAGTTTCAACAACTAAAGTTCTGGTATAATTTTTAATAACATTTCATTTGCTTTAAACAGACACTTGCTGCCCGAAAATCTGGTATTTCCATGACAATGCTCATTCGGACCTCAGTAAACAATGAAGAAATGGTAAGTGTTTGCAGTGGCAGATTGAATTAATTTAAATAATGGAGTGTTTTTTCTTTTTTTCTCCAAAGGTTTTCAGAAATAATTTAATCCTTAAATACTCGCAGTCGAATAAAACTGAGTTGATAAGCATTTATGGTATAGGAACTTTCAGGGGTCTTAAGCACAATGTTTGTTTCTTAGAGAAAACCAAGCCGTTCAGTATGTTCATACTTACTTCCTCTTCAAGCATCACCTTGTCTTCTATACTTAGCAACGCAGTAGCTGTGGTGATAGAGTTCATGTCGATAAATTGCACAGCTTCCAAAATATTGCTTCCCAGTTGACCACAGCAAACCTTGTGTCTTCACGGACTGCAATGATGACCGGAAGGACAAATTTTCAGAAAAATTCTGTTTGCCTCAGGATGTCTCTTTTCATATGTTTTCATATGTTTTCTTTCTTTCTAAAAAAAGAATCAAGTTTACTTTCTAAAAGAATCAGTTTATTTCTTTAGAAGTGGACAAGTCCAGAATTTCTCATGAAATCATATCAGTGTGTGGTGCTGAATGATACCTACAGGCTGCTTGAACTTGCTTTATTCCCATTAAATGAACAGGACTTGGAAGAATTTGGGTACATGGAAATAAAGCAGACTAAGCAAAGCAGACCACTGTGGGGGATGGATAAGCCTATGTTTTCTATTCATAATTTAAGGGGCTGTTTATCAGACTTCACCTCATTAAGCACCAAGGGGCTGAGGCTCAGGTTTTTTGCAGTGCTAATCAGTGACTAGCCAATGATTTTTTCTCCTGCTAGAATTACTCAGGAGTCCCTAAGCTAAACTAGTCCAAATAGGGATATTTGTTTTTGAGAGTATAGACCATTCTTGTTTATGAGTAAAAAGGTATTTTGGCTCTTAAGAGAGAAGCAATGAGCGTGCTACTTTCAGAATAGGAGGATAAAATTCATCTAATTTCATTTCTGGAGGAGATTGTACAGATAGTAGTATTAAAGCACTATACATAAGTAGGTACCTACTGTGCAGTGTGTGTATGCATTTTAAATATGCAGTAGTAAGCTACTGTGTAATTACTTAAAATGCATCTGTGAATGTAGTGCTAATGAATTTGAGATTCATACATCAAAATACACACACACCCATATGGAACTCTGTTGATTCTATAATTGACTGAACTGAATACATCTTAACTCTCCCATTTCTGTAATCAGTCAAAAACTCCAACCTTCCTTTCCAAATTACAGGACAAAACGACTAATTTGAAAGATAAATTCATACTTCAATACATATATTGATATTTTTTTATATTGTAAGTCTAATGAAGTATGCTTTAACTCCAGTTCACTTTATGAAACATTTAAACCAAAATCTTGATTTTTTTTCCCTTACTTAACAGAAAATACATGTTTTCAAGAAGACTTTGCAGGCTTTGATCTATCCAATGTCATCAACTACACCTCATAACTTTGAAGTCTGGACAGCTACAACTCCTACATACTGTTACGAGTGTGAAGGTCTGCTTTGGGGTATAGCGAGGCAAGGCATGAGATGCACTGAATGTGGTGTCAAATGTCATGAGAAGTGCCAAGACCTCCTAAATGCTGATTGTTTGCAGAGTGAGTATTTCCTGAGGGCTGACATTTCACAGTGCTTCACACCTTTTGCAATGGTGTGTGTCATCCGAAGTTTTCCTGAAGTGAAGGGCCATATCTTTTGATTAAACAATGGGATCATGTTGCTGTTCAGTGATCTGAAAAAGTAGCCAGAAATTTGGTGAAATATACTGTTAATTTTGCTTTTGCCCTTAGAATTCGCTGAGTGTTGCCGGTCAATTACAAAATAATGTTTTGTAACATGGGCATGTTATCTGCTCTCCTGTGCGTATGACAGCATCCATACTGATTTATGTTATGTGAAGTAAGCACTCTTTGTTTTGACTTAGAACAGAGCAAAGATTAAAAAACTAAAAAGTGCTGATACATGTTATAGTTATATGAGCAATTCATCAGCAGTCATTTAGCAGTCCTAACACCTCATTAAAATTCTCCCTAGAAAGCCGAATGTTTCACGTTATCTGTAATAAATAAAAATAATGCACTAGCAATAAAAATTATGGAATTTTCCAGCTGCGAAATCTGCTATTTGAAGTAGTTGTAACAAAGGAGCCTTAGTGAATATAAGTGTCCAGATAGAATAAAATATTATAGATCAGTTAGATGGATTTTCTTTCAGATTTACCTTAAAGATTTTAGAGTGCAAGTAGCTATATACTCCCTTTTTCAGAAGAGTTTATATCACTGGAGCAGTATCTAGAGGAAAACAGGAATAGGTAAAAGTCTAAAGCAGTAAACAGGATCTTATCTCTTAAAAATAGCAAATCATGTATCTATGAGGGAAGAAATATTAGTCAGAAAGATAATATATAACAGATAAACATGGAATAAGAAAGTAAATAACTTCTGTGACTTTTTGTTCTATTTGTCTGCAATGTGGTACTTACCATTCCCAGTAATAGTGATGAAGATGATTATGCCCACTGCCATGAACCCTGGAGAAGCTCATTATGGCAGAACTTTAAAGACTAGAAAAACTGATCGTAGATGGTCGCTTGCAAAGCTTCATTTTCCTTGTTCTGCTGAACAAAGCTGATTTATCAGCTGAGGGTGTTTCTACAAACTCTTGACTGAGGAACGAAATTAGTTTTTAATGAGTATATAGATTTCTCACAGAAAGATGCAAGATGCATTACTCCGTCTTTTTAGTGAAGTATTTTGGACTCAATCCTTCTGGTACAGAGTAGAAAATGAGAATATCTTCTCAGCTAGATAGAGGCAATACTGCTCGATTCTTAAGTGACTCTCTTGACTTTGGTCTAAATGAGTAGTGAGAACTGAAAACAGGAAAAGTTTCTCATGCAAAGTTGCACTGATGTTTTATTAGTAGTGATGTTTTACTATTTAATAAGTATTTCAAAGTATAACAGGAAACTGAAGATGATTGTTAACATGGCATATTAAGCTAAATCAGTGGGTAATTTCAGATGTCATCAAGAATAAACATAAGAGGCTTTGCATAATCCAGATGAAATGCACATCTCGAGTACTGCATTACTCGGGGTTGGCTGGAGGCTCCAATGTTTTAGTGAATGTATTTACCTTTTCCTCCCACTTTAGGAGCTGCTGAGAAAAGCTCCAAACATGGTGCAGAAGATAAAACACAGAATATTATTAGTGCTATGAAAGAAAGAATGAAGATTAGAGAGAAAAATAGACCAGAGGTATTTGAGGTGATCCAGGAAATGTTTAATATTTCCAAAGAAGATTTTGTACTATACACAAAAGCAGCAAAGCAAAGTGTTTTAGATGGAACATCCAAATGGTCAGCAAAAATAACCATCACAGGTAAATGCTATATAGTGTTTTCTTTAAGACCTCTTTCCTTCCCAGTCTGGTGGTTCTGAACTAAGACTTACTACAATTTGAGCTGGAGTTTTGTGTTAAACTGTAATTTGGTGCATCTGTAAATGATAGATCTTGTAACATACTAACTGGAAATATTGTGTGTTACAATTGTTGTAAAAACTACTTTGGATTATACAACTCCGGGAAGTAAATGGTCATCTTGGGTTTGGTTTATGTCCTACCAGTTCTTCCTGTGCCATTTTTTTTTTGTCACGGTTGATCAATTTCCACAGTTAAGTTGATGATCTCCTTTATGAGATCTTAACGATTGAAATGGTGAGACAAGCACATCTTATAATTCTACATGCCATCTATTTGAGTGTCCCCATCCGCTCTTGTTGCTTGGCTAAGGGGGTGTTCTAGTTCAGTGATGCTGAGTCGCAGGAACATGGGCACCCACTTCATGCTCAGAGATTTTCTAAGTTGGCACATAGCTTTTCTGCATAAATACGAGAGGGGTACTCATTTTTCTTCTAAACATTTATTTTGGTTTAGAATGAGGAGGACAAAAGACGTTCTAGTTCGTTCCTAAGAGTTTTAACAGGAATGAGATGTGCAAAAACCCCAGAAACTTGTATCGTTCAAGTCAGCTGATGTGACTAAATTCACACAGGGAGCAGATCTGCTGAATACAATGCCTTTTTTTTTTTTTGAAGTTACTTTTCTGAGCACAACATGAGTGAGTTTCAGTATCCAAAATGATTGACACTAGTGAATGTTAACTAAATGCTGCCACTGAGATGTTTTAAGTAATATGCACAAATAATAAAAAGATCACTGCTGATGTTAGCAGTTACGACAACTGTTTTAGCTGTAACTTGTTTTGGGTTTGGTAGGCCTGAATCTGACAGTCTTGCATTCTCCTAAGATCTCCAGTGTTCCACATTACAATTGAAAATCAAATTACATGTATGTATATTTCCACAAAATGCATATACATTAACTATAATCATGTTATTAATTGCCATAAATGTTAACAAATATATATACATCTAGTTAATAACAACTGTTTTAAACTGTTGACCTGTCTAGAATAGTGTTCTGAAAATGCTCGTAACTTGTGTCTCAAATGAAGAAGAATCAGCAGCGTCTATAACCTGCCAGGATATTCATGGTTATTTCTGTTATCTGCACTGTGGATTTTGGATTTTTTACCTGCTTTTTAGGAAATTGAAAGACTTGGGCTGAATTCTTCTACACCATTTTATTGCTTGCTATGCTGATTAAAACAAAGTTTGAGTATCTGAATTATCCATGTCAAGGAAAATGTGTGCTTTGTGCTTTTTAGGGTATCTTTAAATTATTACTCTATTAAACCTTATATAGGCAGTGCAGAAAGAAAGCCTTTTCTATCTCTAAAGTAACAGTCTGGAAAAATTGACCTAGAAAAGCTTGTTTGAGGAGTTCTAAGTTTGAGGGCTTCATTTCCTGTTGCTTTTTGCTCTCTTTCATTTGTTTCTTGGCAGTGAATGAGAGCCACAAGGGCTAAAACACATTTCTGTGCTTTTGTTGCAGTGCTTTGTGCTCAGGGCTTGCAAGCTAAAGACAAAACTGGCTCAAGTGACCCATATGTTACTGTGCAAGTTGGCAAAAACAAGCGGAGAACAAAGACTATTTTTGGAAACTTGAATCCGGTCTGGGATGAAAAATTTTATTTGTGAGTATAGAAGATGTTATTTTATACTGTTTTTAACTTATTTTTAGGTAACATAATGCTGCCGAGTGAAATAATTACTTCCTTGAAAATATGTATTGTCTCTTCCTTCAAAATATCTGTTGTCCAATCTTACGAAGATTCATAGCATATTAATTAGCAAGCTTTGATTGGAGAGAATATGGAAGTTTTGTTATAACTGTCGCATAGCAGTGTGACAGCTTATAGTTAGATTTATTGGGGAATCTCTTGTTTGAATCTTTTTATTGCTATTTTATAGAGAACTTCAGTAGCAGATGTTTATACTTTGATCTTAGATGCCAAAAGTAGGCAATGCGAATGGCTTCCTGTGGCTCAGAAATCAACCGTGCAGTTTGAACATGGTTTTAATCAACCCTGTCACACTCCTCAGTGAAACTGGGGAATTTGATAGTGCCTGGTAAGCATTGGGCTCTTGGATGGGCTGTGTGTATTGACTGCTCAGCAGACCTTCCCAGGACTGAGTGTTGTCTGGAGATAAGAATAGATTCTTCCTGTCTTCTTTCCCTTGGTCACAGCCCCTGAACTGAAAATAGTAGTTTGTTGTCAGCATGTCACAGAAGTTCAGCCTTGACTGCAAAGTAGGCGTTGCAGGCTGTAATACGTTGACTCAGATTTTGAATATGATTTTATGCCAGTTGTAGTTTGGGAAGTACAGATAAGGGGCATTTTGCAAACAGATGACTGATTCTGTTCATGAGAACACTTGAACCTTACCTGCTTAATAAGGTCTGTATCTTGATTCTGGCAGCGCTCCCAGAGCTTCTTTCAGAAGGAGGTGTTATAGAATAGGAAATCCAAATTCACATATACTGTCCTTTTCCTGGAAATACTGTTTTAGGATACAACACATTCCTCACTGTGAATGGCACCAGTTTGACGACAGTGCCAATTAGTGCAGTGTAGGCTTCAGTGTAGCTGAAGTTTTCAGTGATATCTAAACACAGTCCTGTGAGAATTGTTGAAACAGATAGTGCAAGCAGAAGTATCTAACCAAGAATTATTTTACCCAAAATTTGGATTCTCTTGGATAATAGAAACTTGCAAATTATTTGACTGGATTTATCCATGCTAAAAAATCTTCAGTAAGCGGCCAAGCAGATAAGTCCCTGAGAGACATTTTGCTAATGAAGATAACTATATTCCATGGCTTCAGCCCAAAACACGTAGCAGAACACCTTTAGCAACCAATTAAAATGATAAATTGCTTGTTCAGCAATAATAATTTTCAATACACAGTACAGCATATTTGGTCTGAGTCTTCTTTCAAACTGGTATGAGTTCAGGTTAATTTTTATGCAACATATTCCCTGATTAGAGAATGAACTAATGCAAGTAGTATTGGATTTAATCTAATCCTAATTTTTCCTAAGGGAAATAATTAAAATAAATACTTTTTTAATGTTTGTATCAACCAGTTTTCATTGAAGGAATCTTTGTAGTCTTTTTTCTCTCTTTTTTTTTTTTTTAGCAGCCCTCAGTGATAAAATCTGGAGTAATTTGCAATTGAAAATGCATATACAATCATTCTTGATTACTGCTATAAAATTATTTCGGTCTTGCTGTTCTCTAAATTCCTATACACAACATGGTAAACAGCTAGAATGCCTTTTCACTTTCATATCTTGATTCATTTTGTCGTTCTTCTTTTACACTTTATGGTTATTTCAAGGGAATATCATGTCTACTAATACTGCTTTTTACCCGATTTCTCAAATTTTGCTCTTGTCAGCATGACCCATTTTTTGAGTATCTTCTATAACTAGATGTTATCCAGAACTGATACCATATTGCTTGCACAAATGAAATTCCAGAAAGGTAATGACCCCCCAAAATTGATCTTCAAACATGATTTTGAATCACAGCACAGTAAGATGGCAAACCAATTAAATTAAATATAAAAATAAAATAGTCCCGTAAATTCTGCAAATTCACATGGTGAATAGAATGTCAGTGCTGATTTCAGTGTTTGTGGAGAGCATATCCCATTGGAAATAGGCAAGTATGGACTTGCAACAGGTGACAGTAAAAATCATGAGATGCCAAATTACTTTCTGTCTTTAAATCTTTGTCACGGTAATGATATTCTTTTCTTTCTGATCTTTTGGATTAAACGAAAACTGTTACACGGTTAGATTTCAACTATATTTTTGCTTTATTTTATCCTTATTTTACTTTGCCTGCAAATATTTTTAATATGAAAGTGAACTAAGACTCAGATTCCTTTTAAATAGGGAGAGATTATAGAAGCAAATTTTAAGGTCCAGGTCCTGCTACAAAAATTGCAGTGGCTTCAGCTGTGAACTTTTGTCTCTCTATGAGAAGGCAGAGGGGAAAACTATTCCACATTGATTTGCAGATTACCTATTTAAATAGATACTTTGAAACAAGAATGAGACAAAAACAGAACTGTTGGAGAGTGCTGGTTACTGTTTGTAACTCTGGAGTGCTTCCTATGTAACAGTGCTCATATTGGTAAGAAATTAATTATATTAAATAGTTTGTATTTTTATCTGTTTTTCTTGTGTATGCATAAATATAAGTGAATCTCGGATAAATTATGTGCTAACCTGTTGCCAGTATATAATAATATTGTACCCTTAGGCTTTTTAAAATAACAACTTCCAAGTAAGTGACTTGATGCAGGGTGTAGAAGCAACTGATGCTAGTTAGAGGAAAGAATTGTGAAAGAGCAGTCTAATAAGTGAAACCTTTTTTGAAATAATCTCCACTGATTTTTTTTTTTAAAGACCAGCAGTAAACTTATTTTCACTGCATGCTATATTTTTTTAAATAATTGATAATAAAAATATAAAAGCATACTGCCCAGATATTCATCACAGTGACTAAAGCAAATGTGCAGCTCATTATGTAGTGCTCTTTATGAGAGACTGGGTAGGTAAGTAGTTATGTAGAGACAGCTCTGTAACCCTAATTGTTAATCTTCCTGCAGTCTCACTGCATCAAAACATCCCTGTAGAAATCAATGCTTGTCCACATTGCACTTCCTGCCACAAGTCTGTACAAGCTGAGTCTTGCATGGAGGCATTACAAATGTGCAGAAGCAGAGCTCACTCAAAGGTTTTAGACATGATGATGAACAAGTTGGTAAACCTGTGGATAGAGATGGGTATCAACATGTCTCACTGACTTGAGATTAAAGGAGAAAAAGACACGTGAGGAACAAAGGAGGATATTGAGGAAAGCAGTGGTCCTGACTGTCTGAACAACTATTTCTTAATCAGCTAAGTGTATGTCAGAAGGAAATGCATGTTGTCTCAGAAGAATCACATACATGCAGCATCTCCCCAAGAAGCAAAGCAGGCGCAAGATTTTTTCAAGTACCACAGGTATAGGGATGAGGGTCACATAAAGGCCTCACCAGTGATGGATCTCCTTATACAACTGTAGAACTTCTGTTTAATATTTCTATTGACTGCATGGCTAAATGCAATCCAGGGCTCTGGCAATGTATAGTAATTTAGGGCTGCACATCAAGAAAACAAATTTTCTGAGCTTAGCTTAGCTTCTTAAGGCTTGAGGAGGTGTTTGCTTGATCCGTCTCTCTCTGTATATGTCTATCTTCTATATGTCCTTGCAAGTAACTTCTGAATTTCATGGTCTGCTAGAGAAATTTCACAGAGTGCTTAGTACTGTATCTACCATATTCTATGAAAATCGATGGTCAAATATGAGAACTTTGTAGTGCCTCAGTGTGAGTTCACCTGGTGTAAACACCAAGGAGTCCATATGAAGAGCTAGTGTATAAAAATCCCAGTTACAAGAGAAGATTTATTCTGTGATTACTTTTTGTTAGATATCAGGGAAGCCAGCCATAAGACAGAAAGAAATCAGACTTCATTAGTTTTGCTAATAAAAGAACAATGTGTCTTTTAATCAGAGAGCTATTTGCAATGTTAAAAACTTGGAATATGATCAAGCGCAAGCATTTCTGTATTATTGAGTGGTGTCACAGTGAGGCAGAGTAAAAGATGTGTGTGCCGTTTTTCGTGGCTGATTGGCCTTGTCAGTAATAATAACATGTAAAGCACTTTATACTTGCAAAGCCCATTACCACCACTAATTAATTCTTAGAACCCCTGAGGGGTGCTTGGGAGATAAGTAATAGTATTACCATTTTAACGCCGGAAACACCAAGGCAGATCACTGAACAGTGATAGTACTTGGAATAGAATTCAGGTCAAAACTGATCTAGTCTAGGACCATGCTGAAGATGAAACACTGCTGCTACAGTAAGGAAACATATTTAAAGGATAGCCCAAAATCTGTAACATTCAAAAATGTTTTTGTAATATTACTGAATGGAAATAAAAAGTAGCAGTGCAGATCCAATAGCATTAGTGCATCAGTGCAGGCATGTACCACCCTTTACAGAATCACAGAATGGTTAAGGTTTGAAGGGACCTCTAGAGATCATCTAGTCTAACCCCCCTGCTCAAGCAGGGACTCCTAGAGCACATGGCACAGGGTCACATCCATTAAATATTACTGGAAAAAATCTTACTACTACAGAGTTCTGTAGTTAGTGTTATGGTGCACTAATGGTATAATGAAAAGTTAACACCAAAAGTTAACACCAAAAGTTAACACCAACAGTAGATTTTTTTGATAGTGCCTTTAGGAATAAAAAATAACAATGAATTTCATTGTCATTTCTTTCAAAATTATACAGGAAGGACCTGGGGGCAGAAAGTTTTCCCCACTGTGAACTCAGGAGACAGAAGTCACCTCCCTGTCTTACAAGTCCAGTCATTCTTCATAGAGTCATAGAATGCTTAGGGTTGGAAGGGACCTCTAGAGGTCATCTAGTCCAACCCCCCTGCACACCAGGGTCGCCTAGAGCACGTGGCACAGGGTGGCATCCAAGCAGGTTTGGAAGATCTCCAGAGAAGGAGACTCCACAACCTCTCTGGGCAGCCTGTTCCAGTGCTCTGTCACCCTCACTGTTAAGATTTTTTTCCTTAAGTTCCTGTGGAACTTTTGGTGCTTCAGTTTCCGGCCATTTCCTCTAGTCTTATCAGTGGCCACCACTGAAAAGAGACCAGCACCATCCTCCTCACTCCCTCCCTTGAGGTACTTATATACACTGATTAGATCCCCCTCAACTCAATTTAAGGAGTCATTGAAATTTGCAAGGAATTTTTTAATACTCAGCAGCCTGTTATTGCTCGTTCTCACCAAAGAAAAGGAGAGATCTTTTAAAGAAGTTGCTTATTTCCCTCATTTTCTCTGATTGCCAACCTTGCCTTACTGTGAGCTTCATTCATGCTTGTAAGGTTTGGTCATTGCCCATTCAAAGCTTCCTGCCACGTAGTGGGAGTATATCTTAAATCTTATGTTTTAACAATTTTTATGGGTTACTATTTTCATTTTGTCTACTATGTGTACTGTATAACACATAGCATAAGGAAGTGCATGTTGTAAATTAATTTATGCTTTCAGTGTTAAATTCATGTTACTCCGAAATACTATCCATATGTGCATAGATAATTCAATCGTGTTAATTTCTGTACTTTCTCCTGTATTATGTATAGTTACTCTTATTCCTGTTGACATGGTATTGCCTTGTATTCCACTGAGTGTTGCAAGTGTTGGTATTCCAACAGCTGAAGCAGTTAAGCAAGGGGACTGTAATCATGGAGCATGAATTAAGCAGCAGTACAATTGTACCTAGTTAATGCATGACTCATAGTTTGTATTTTATTATTATCATTACAGTGAATGCCATAATTCTACAGATAGAATAAAAGTGAGAGTCTGGGATGAAGATGATGATATTAAATCCAGAGTAAAACAACATTTCAAAAAGGAATCAGATGATTTTCTTGGGCAAACAATCATTGAAGTAAGAACACTAAGTGGAGAAATGGACGTGTGGTATAATTTAGGTATGATTCATGGTGGTATTTTTTGTTTAAACAAATTTAGATAAAATCTCAACATCTTTAGAATGAGGATTTCAAAATAGGTAGCTCTCATGCCAATATAATGTATAGGGTAAACCGGTTTATTTTTAGATGTTGTATGTCACAAGTTGAGTAGAAAATAAAAGGTATTTATTTACGTGCTTTTGATCCAAATGTATTACAATTACAAAGTAGACAAGTTACAATAGTGTCAAAGACAAGTATTTGATTTTACTTCAAAAATTACGTAAGAAACCCCTATGCTTCAGACTAGTTGATTTGCACTAGCATTCTATCGGACATAGACCTTCAGGGATACCTAGAGGAATCTAGCAAATACTTCACTTTATTATACACGTTCATTTGTCACCATTTTTAAATTACTTAGAGATAATTCTAGGCCTCCTTCTCTCTATTTTACACTGCTTTTACATTTCTTGATCTTCGTGAAATTTGTGAGAGTGTGTTTTCTGTTCTGTACACTGGTTAAATTCATTTAGGTGTATAGCAAAAATTGAATGCAGTCGGGTGAAGCTCAAAATACTCTTGTCCTTAATGACTGGGATTTTCTGTCTGATCAGTTCTTAAGGAGCATTTTTTTTTTTTTGAATCGAAACTAACTCAATAACAGTATGTTGTACAATGTATGCTTTTTTTATCTTAACCTAAGCCTATAACTTCTAAAAACCTGTTCATGTGCACTCAATGTTCTGGACTAGTCCTTTGAAAGTCAGTCTTCTATATTTAGTAATAAAAATTCGATATCAACATTTTTATCTAGCTTGTGTGCTGTATAAAGCATTTCAGGTGCATTATGTAATACAGTTCTCTGAAATTAGAAAGCATTTATTTCCTGAGCAACAAGTCTTAGTTTCTCTGTCTAGTCTTCACTGGCCATTATACCACATAGATGTGTTAGGCAAATATTGAATTCCTATTAAAATACAAAAGAAATGTTTATCTCCTACTCATAATGAGGGTTTTTAGAAATGAAATTCACAATGATAATGACCAAGTTACCTTAGTCTTTTAAAACATTTCAGTCAAAGTGACATAAATACTGACATAAATTATGCAATGGATTTGTTTTTAAATGTTGGTGAGCTGATTTGGTTGGAAGCAGTGTATTGCTAATTTAATCATATTAAACATAGAAGATTCATAAGATTTATAAGAGCAAGTTTGTATGCTCTACAAATGAAAAAAAAGATCTAGAATGAAAACTTTTCAACCTACATCTAAAAATTAAACATTGACAGGTAGCTCATGTTAATTTTAATGCTTTAAAAATAATGGTGTGTGTTATTCTGATGCATACACATGTTTACCCAAATACAAAATGTTAAATCACATGGAGGAAAGAGGAGTAAAATACTCAGAAAGTCATTTTACTCTGTAAAATGATAATACAAATGATAAATTATACTAATTCACTTGTTCATTCATCATTCACATCACAGCACTGTATGAAGGAATTAAAAAAAAATACATATGTTCATTCAGATTATCGTGCTTGAATGGAAAGGAAAAAAAAAGTTGAAGAATATCAGTAACCTCCACAAGGAATGAAGCAACTAAACAGGCTCAGCTCTAGAGTCAAGTTCTGCTAAAAACATTCTGAGTTTCTCTCCATCATTGTGATTAAAACTGTTGCTAATGTTTTCATAACTAAAAGAAGCCAATAATGAAAATGATGATTAGTTTAGATATCAAATTCAAGGAAGTATGGTTTATTATAAGGGAAATGTTGCATAAAGCTATGCGTGACCTGTTTTGAATTTGGGGTATGTGAGGGAGAAGCATTATTTACTTCATAGCTAAATATTCTGCTTCATGGCCATGTGAGTTATTTAAAAAATTCTCTTATACTCAGCCTCTGGACTTCGGTTTTAAAAACAGTCTTACTGATCTAAAATGATTATGGAAGCTTTTCACATGACATAAATGTAAGCTTGGTCGTTACTAATATGTTATTTTTCTGCTCTTCAGAAAAGCGGACAGATAAATCAGCTGTCTCTGGTGCCATTAGATTGAAAATCAATGTTGAAATAAAAGGAGAGGAGAAAGTTGCTCCCTACCATGTGCAGTACACGTGTTTACATGAGGTATGTTGGAGAAGTGAAGGTGTGCTATATATAAATTACTATTCAGTTGTTTATAGATGAACACAAAAGACTAGAAAAAAGTAAAACGGTAATACAAATAGCTCTACTGTGGCATATTTTTTCAAGGCAAATTTATTTTAGATTTCCTACTTCCTGTCTCTGATACCATACCAATGCTCAGGGTCAAAGAAAGAGGGAATGGTCATTAGACCAATATAGACCAATTTTTGTCCTCCCTGTCAAAAGGAGTCAGAAAAAGAAAGAGAAGCTGTAGTGAGCTTTGCAAGTCCTCTGCCTATAGTTTTTGTTTCAGCATTGCAATGCTCCTGATGCTTCCTACATGCTTGCTCATGTTAAGAAGGTATTACTATTACTGTGTTTTAACTGAAGATGAGCTCTTTCCTTATACACTAATTCATACATTGAAGAGAAAAATGCAAAGCGCAGATGTGTAAACATTACATCATCTGTTTTGCTGTTGTCTACAATTAAAAAAACATGAGTAATAAAACTAAATGTGTCTCTCAAAAGATTTTCTTCGTATTTAATTCCTCTTCCCTCAGACATCGTACACATCGAAGTTTTATTCCAAATATGCAAATACTTTTGGAAAACTGGTAGATATGACCTATTTTGCTGAAAGTTTAGTACTAGAACATCTTCACAAAATTATGCTCTGTGGTCAAACTTTGTAAAATTGAATGTTCAGGACATTTGGGTTAAAATATGGTATTTGATCTGGTACTATAGTGGCTGTGATCAGGCACTCAAAGTAAATAGTAAATCCTATTGCTTCAGGATCATCCAGTCTATATTTCCAGGACTAATTAGCCCATTTAAATTATTTGCTAGATTGCCTTTATTACTGAAAAAGTTAGAAATCAAATTCTTTACCCAGGTTTTAAATATATACAGGCTAGTTAATCCAGGAGGCTTTCTATGCCCTTACTTCGAAATTAAACACTAGACTTGGTTTAAAGACTCCTAAACATAAATTTATAGTATGTCTTTCTTTATTTGAGACCCTACTGCAATATTTTTAATAGTTTTCCTGTAACTTATAGCTTTTTAATCATAAATTTAAAATCTATTAGAGATCCAATTCAAGTTGAAGGACTATTCAGTGAGCATTATAAATCATGAATTCATTTATTAGCAAGGGCATATAAGAGAGAAGAGAAAGTTTTTGTGTTACTTTATTTTGCAGTTTGTCTGTGCTGGTTAGCTGGGGTACCCTGATGATAAGGAGATAGATAAAGTACTGAATCAGAAAACTTTCTAGCAGAGTGAGTCCATTACAAAAACATATCTTTAAAAGCCTTGGGTTTCAGTTCTAGTCTACAGAAAAATAAATTTTTAAATTAATGAACATACTGAAGACTATATATAGAATATATTTTCAGAATATATATAAAATATACTTTCAGAATGCCACTTAAGAGTTTCAATTTCCTGTTCGAAAAATTTCTTACATCTAGAATCTCTTCCATTACTTGACGGAAGTTAAATCTAATGGTGTTGTAAAGATCCCTGAAGTGAGAGGTGATGAAGCCTGGAAGGTGTACTTTGACGATGCTGCACAAGAAATTGTAGATGAATTTGCAATGCGCTATGGAATTGAATACATTTATCAAGCTATGACGTAAGTATTATCATGTCTATTTTTATATTCTACTATCAAGAATATGGTTGAGGGAAGTGATGAGTTCCAAGCTTTCCTGCTTTTATTCTCCATTTCTCTCCCATTCCTGATTTAAAATTTTTTTTCACTTTTATGTCTCTGATATTCTTAGCTGTGATGGCATTAAGTATCTGTTGTAAGCTTTTTTTTGTAAGCTGTTGTTGGTATTAACACAAACGCATTTCTTAATCCTTATGATAGTGATAGGTGCAAAGACTGGAAAAGACTTCGTGTGTTCTAGGACCAATATGAGGTTGAGATCATACACTAGACCACAAGCAGAAATAATTATAGAATAATTACAGGATACTAAGAAAGGCTAAAGTAACCTTCCATAGTACACGTTAAACAATTAATCATACAGGAACCTGTTATTTCATTGTCAGTATTAAAGTATCTGTATGAAAAATTTGGAACATAATACTGCAGCCTTAAGGGGCCTGGGGATACAAAAGGAGGGTCGGATACTCTTAATCTGACCAGTGAGCTTTGCCCATGAGGGAGAATATATTCTGCTCCTATTGTACCCTTAGCAAAGCAAAGGAATCCATCTGAGTTCATTGTCACTATAGAAAGCTGATGTTACGAAATTTTTAATCATAGTATATCTTTTTTTCTCTACTTCCCCCCCCCCTTTTTTTTTCCCAAGACGTCCTAAAAAACAAATTTTCTCATATAGCATGAAGGCAGATGAACACTGAAGTGTTTTTTTTTTTATTGCGGGTTATAATGACACCATCTGTTATTATTATGCAGCTCATTGTGAATTATTGTGTTATGTATCTTCCAGAAAGGTAGAAGTGTGTATTTGTGCTCTATTATATTTAGTGGTCTTCTCTGAGGACTTTTAAGTAACATTGCAGAGAATTAATTAAGTTTGACAGTTCCCTTATGTTATTGTATAACCATTCTACATACGGAGAAACTTCACAGGGATAATTGCAACTGGAAAATGTGTGAATTTTATTGATTTTCATCTTTTAGTGTGAAAAAACTTATTTCGAAAATTTCAGAGTACTGGATATTTTTAGAGAATGTTTAAAGCTGGTTTCTTTTTAATCTGAGCGTAGCAAAAGTCAACATTGTGAATATAGTAATGTAATTGAGAATCAACTATTTAAAAGCTTTTTCATTCAATATAGTTAGAAATGGACAAGTTACTTTTTCCTGTAAAGATGACTCTTTCAGTTTGGTAAATAGCATACATATTTTCACAAAAAGAAAATAAATTTAGTCTGAACATCTCACATGTTACTTGCTAAATATTGCAAATCATTTTCCAGGAATCAACTCAATTCTTCTTTTTATTTTAATTTTACTAATTTAATTTTAAACAAAATGATTTGTCCTGTTTTTGTTCATGATTTCTTCTTTAGCTTTTACTTCAAATTCCCATGCTATTAATGACTACAAATTGAAATCAAGTGTAGTAAGAAAATGAATTTGATACTGGTAGTCACAAGTAATAGTCACAAGTACACAGGAAACAAAGGCTAAGATTTCATTGGCCCCATACTCATATCCATTTGTATTTTAAAATTTTGGTAACAAACAATCCCAATGTAAAGGGTAAGCCACGTATTTTTTGTTCACATTATCTGGAAATAAATATCAATAGTAAATGTGATCTTAAATTTGTGTAAGAAAGGAATTGTTTGGTATATATTTTTTTGCTGATTCAACTGCAGACATGTCTCGAAGTGTATTCAGACTGTAGGGAGAGGAGTAGTGAACACAGTATAGATCTGTCATGGGGAGTTTTCTTTCAGACTCTTATCAGTTGTTTTTGTTTATGAAATCAAGTCTTTTTCCTGGAATACCTTTAAGAGTTAGGAGAAAGTTTACAGCTTTTTGATCTGGAAAATTGAATGATTAGATCCCATACAGTAATGATGTCTTCCTATGAAAAACAATTTTCTAATAGAACAGAGAGAGATTTTGAATGTAATTACTTGGCCCAGAGGAACACTCTTGTAAGCAAATAGCTAGATTCAGAACATTCCTATTCCATGTCTCATGGTAACATTGTAAATTAAAATGTCCCTTCATAGGCAATTGCCTGGATCCCAGGGAGCATCCACATGCTTCTTGTGCACTGTCTTAAAGTTGTGTGAGTTCTAGAGTTTTGTTAATGAGCTGTTCTTTTTCTCTGATTGCAAAACTCACATCTGTTTGTGGTTTTCAGACGCCTATTGTATAATAATTCATATAGAGAATATGATATTGCATGATATTGTATGTTAGCCTAATAATATTCATAGAATTTGATTATTTTTATAATAATTTACTGGTAGATAGGCTAGCCCTGTATTCGTATAGGTAGGTAGCATATGCTGGAGTAGGGGCCTATGCCATTCTGCATTTCTAAGTACAAAATAAAGCTAAATGAGCCTTCCTAAAGCATTACTGTCCAGAACAACTGGGTGTTCTGTTCTGCTGTGATAATGAATAATTTTATTCATCTATCATTTCAAGGTTGTGCTGGTGGCCTTGTTATCTATGATTCTTCTGGTAAAACCTGACGATTAGATTTCTCAAATTAGTATTTATTTATTTATTTATATCCATTCTTTTGGAGCGTAGAAATTATGTTTTCAAAAGGATAATCCTGTTCTATGAAGAAAAAGATGAGTTCTAGTGTTATATCCTGACCCAGATGGAAAGCTTCAGCCATTTACAAGGCTCTGGTTAACATTAGAATGCTCTTCGCAAAATGTACTGTTACAATTTTAAACCGGCTTATGCTTCAGAATGACAGAAAACAAAAAGAATGGTTCACATTACACTTGGTTAGTAATCTCTATCCCAAGTGTAAGTCATCGTAGCTTTTTGTTGGTGATGCTTTTGGTTGATTGGGGTTTTTTTACAACGCTGGATCTTAATTTTAGTATCTGTTTACTCTGATCTCTCAAGTAGCTCAACTGTCAAGAGCAATGACAGAACAGATATTCTAAAATTCAGCTCAAAAGGATAAACTTTAGTGTCTGGATTTGAAAACAAGTCTTTGAGAATTTGCTCAGCAGCTTCAGAATTGTTTCATAATAATCTTGCAGCTCTGGAGGAGCCTGCACAAAACAAGGAATAGAGACGACAAATGCTAGAAAGAATGTAAGCATTCTTGTCAGTTAAAATCAAGAATGTCCTGTGATCTTGTTAAAATTCACCCTATGATTGATCACACTTTATGTAAAGGGGAAGATTTGGCGGGGTTATTCCTTTTCCTATAACTTTCTCCAAGTTGGGTTTGTGTTCAGCTCAGGAGCACAGCCTAGCCCTTGGGTAGCTCCACGTGAGTAAAGAACCAGCAGAAGACATCTCAGTGAACTTAAAACATAGCCCCAAACTCTCTTTTTCCAGTGTCTGTCAGTTTTTGTTGAGGGCAACTAATCCTGCCTCAGCAGCTCCTGACAAAGCAACTGCAGCTAAAGCCTGTTTTGTCTGCCTCTTCTTCCCTCAGCAAAGCACATGTTGAAAATACAACTCTAATCAACATGGGGTTATCGGTTTCTACTTATTTCCAGCTGAACATTCCCTCTACAATTAAGATCCTCAGACCTATTTGAATATTTTGGGGAATAATTCTAGGTCAACCATAAAATGATATGTTAAATACCTTGGATATCAATATTTTTCAGAATAATTCTGTCATCTTCAGATACATTCCTCAACATGCACGTGAAGAATCAGCTGAGATTTCTGTTAGCTTTGAAGATTAACTGAAACTGGTGAAAATCACCGACATCATTATCTTATTTTATAGACAAGAACTGAATAGTTTTTCCAGGTCATAGGAAGTATATGTGACATATGCTGAAGCAACTTCCTAACAAGTATGTAGCTGTCTGATATTTATGTCAGATTTGTTCTGTGGTGCTTCAAAGCATGCTTGAAAAATACTGGCAATGAATGAAGGTTCTGCAGTGTTATCCTATAAGCACATAGCAAGAATGCTGAGCTCTGGTCCTTGCTGAAGTGATTGATTTGGTGTATAGACTTGAGCAGTTTCCTTCAATTTTGTAAAATGGAGATAATAGCACTTAATTATCTACCTTCCAGGAGTGCTGAGAAACATTTGCAAAGCACTTTGAGCTCAAGAGACATAATACAAGCTTTAAGCATCAATATATATCATCACCACATCAGAACAAGCCTTAGTGGTGTGTAAGCCCAGCATGAAAATACTTGAAAGAGAATCTAATGTTAGAGAGCCTAGGAACTGGGTGTTCAAGGCTCACCTCCTTTTAATCCTCCTTCTCCTATTGCTACTGACAGCCTCAGTCCTCAGAAGCTGTTCCAGTAGCCTACCCCACTGCATAAATGCATGCCTTCCCCTGTTTCTATGCTGTGTGCATGCAGCACTCTATAGGTAAAGCGTGGCTTTAACCCCCCGCCCCTTTCAGTTCAGTCCCATGGTGCAGGAGTGTCGGTGCCATAGCTTCTTTCCAGGACCCAGATGTTCCAGATACAGAGAGCTGGACAGAGGCTATAGGCTTGTGGGGGAACATAAATCTGTTCGTACTCAGTAGGAAGTGGAAGGTAAAACCATTCTTCTCTTAAAGCCCCAGACCTGTTCAGTAGTAGATGTCCTTTTCTTTATAAGTAACATTTCCAATGTTACTTTAGAGTTCAGAGTTTATTTCAGAGTTTAACAGACTTAACCTGAACCACAGTGGAATACCTTCAGCCATGGCCAAAGTCAGACCAAGGTAAAACCAAAGGTGACTTGATGTCTCTGGTTTGGTAACAAAGTAACCTAAAATACAAGCTACAGCAAGTTCTGATTTGAGCCTTTTGACATTATAGATAAAATGCTTCTCTACCAGAGTACAGCTCTCTTGTGGCCTATTATGGTGACATCCTCATGTTTGAATTTAAGTTTATGTTTAATAATTAATGTTTAATAACAAGATATTCAAATCATATTTTTATATTCAGAATTAGCTGAATAAAAGGAAATGTCAGTTTGGTATGTTCAACTGAAAAACATCTCTAGCAATTATGTCAAATATGTCTGGACTCTTGTCATGTATGTTTGAACAATTGTCTATGAGATGCTTGACATGTACACCACTGGAGTTGAAAAGAAACTGTCGTGAGAGAATGTGCAGAATCTTTCCTACCTTTAATAACTGTTAATTTGTTTGAATTGTAGGCACTTTTCTTGTTTGTCTTCTAAATATATGTGCCCTGGTGTGCCAGCAGTTATGAGTACATTGTTGGCCAACATAAATGCGTTCTATGCCCACACTACAGCCACAACCAATGTATCTGCCTCAGATCGGTTTGCTGCTACTAATTTTGGGGTAAGCAGACTTGCTTTTCAATAGAATACTAGTCTTACTCTTTCTTTTCTAATATATTATGCAATATTAAATTCAAAATTCAATTTTAAAATAGGTAATTTTAAAGAATGAGTTGCTATTGAATGAATATTGCTAGCTTTTGAAAATTTACTCCCTGAGTCTTTTCAATCAAGCAGTGTAAAGACTAAACAAGACTTTACTAACTTTTTAAACTTTTTTTTTTTTTAGTGGTATGTAGGGTATATGTGGTAGAAGGCACTAGCATGCATAATAATATGCCAGCTTTTTTTTTTTTTTTTATTGTAATGGGGCTTGCAGACTACTAACTGCACTGTACTACCTGAGGGTTGCATTTGTTTTCTTAGGTTGTGTGGGCTTACAAAGGTGTCATCAGTAAACTCACATTAATTTAATAGGTCTATCTGTAAATATTTGAAGACAATAACTTGTATATAACAATGGCCTTTTTTTTTTGCTGAGATAACAGATGCTTTGTCCCAGTCCAGCATTTATATGTCAGAAATGCTGAGGAAAAGGCCAGCATGTTATAATCCTTATTTTTTGTCTGCTTCCCATCTGTGGACATGCGCACCTTCCACTATTCAGCAACAGGCCTGTTGAGAGCTCGCCTCAGAAAGAAGAGGTGGGCCCCTTGTGTACTCCAACTGCCTTTGACTGATAAAGGCCTGTAGAAAATCTACAGAAAAATAGAGGTGATGCTTATGTGACAGTCTCTGAATTACCCACTTGCCCTGCAGTTCCTCTGCTTGCAAGGCTTCCCATTATCCTTGCACAGATTACGAAGTGTGAGGTCTTCCTTTCCTCTCCCAGACTGGCCTTGAGCTCATCCTCTGTTGACCCAGTGACTGTGGAACTGATCGTGTTACTGGGAGAATTGTAAAGATGGCCCTCAGGCACCTTGCATGATCTCTGGGTAGCAAAGGGTAGCACAAGTGGCAGCGAAGTTGCACCAGTGATGGGAAGAGAGTCCCTGATATAACTGAGTGTCTCACGTCATCTCTTCCTCTCTACTTTTTTAGCTTTCTTTATCCTTATCACTCATTGATCACCTCTTTTTTTTTTTGCAACAGGATTCACAGGAAATATTAGTTCGTATTTCATCCACAAACATCTTTGAGATAAATCTGCTTTCTGTAATAGTAATACCTTGTGTAGTAATAATACAATAATACCAAAGTTTTTTTTTCATTATTGTCAAATCCTGAGTGTTCTTATGATGTGATGCAGTGCTTACCACTATAAAGAATTCTGAATGCTCTTAACATGGTTCTAACACAAATATATTTTCAAATTTAAGGGATATCATAACTTTGCAAAATGTTTTCCATTATATGTCATGAATTTTAGGTCCATTCGGATTTTTTTAGAAAAATATTTAGTTTAAATGTCTATATATTTTTCTTCTGCCAGAAGCACTTCATGAAAAAGTGACCAGACCTAGGTTTTAGTTTGGAGAAAGCATGTTTTTGAATTGGGACCACTGCTGCTAGAGTTTTCCTTCAAAATAGAAATAGTAATGCTGCCTCCTTACTATAAAGCGGGAAGGTTTTATAGATGAAAAGCGCAATTAGACTAGTTATGATTTAATTACAGTATTACCATGATAGTGGAATATTGCTCAGAATTTACTGAGGTTCAATTTTGCGAGCTAATTCATGGTTTATTATGAAATAGCTCTGTATCTTTGCTGAAGTGATAGGTCTACTCTTAACATTGAGGTCCTAGTAGACATTTGGGTTTGATCCAGCTTTTGAAATTCAGAATGTTTTTACTGGATTTTCTATTCTTTATTTCCATTTTGATAACGATCAGAATTATTTTCCTTTATCCTCAGATTGGAGGGAGATTATGTCCTCTCTCTGATGTTAATGCCAGTTTTCTTCTGACGCAAATTCCAATCCAATTCATAGCTCAACAGATGGATAAAAAGACAGTAGTAAGCATCACTAGTAGAGATTTGGGGCTTGTTTTCTTCCCCTCCTCCTCTTCCCCAAACAATTGACTTACAAGCAAAATACTAGATTTTTTCTCTTTTGAGTCCAAAGACATTTATTAGTGGATAGAAACCACCATTCATCAAAAAGAACATCCGAATTTCAAGTCCTCCTGTTGCAGCTAGAACAGAGTATTTGGGTGACTGAGTGTTTCGGTATGGATTTATAACATGACCACAAGTTCTTAAGGGAACTGTGCCAAACTTAGGGTGTAGGTTGGTGTTGCACAGTGGATAACAGCCAGTGCAGAAAGTACTCTTATTTCATTTTAATTCATACCTTATTTCAGAAATGATATGGATAAAATCACACATACTGAGAGCTCAGATCTTGTTACTTCTGACAGTCTTCTCCATGCACATAGGCTGGCAAGGATTTCTGCACATTTTGTGCAGTGAACTACAGAGTACGTTTAAAGATGAAGATTGGTATTTAGAAACATTAATTAGTCTTGGGAATGGCCTATCTCACCTGGGTGTCTCACAGCGAAATATTCTCATCAAGATAACAAGTTCATCTCCACATTTGAAAGGGAAAGATATAATTATATAGTATTATTTAGCTCATTTTCCCAAAGCCATTTTTTCTAGTTTTGTTTTGAATCACATGCTTCTGTGTCAAATTGTACTCCCAAAGAACAATGTTTCTTAAATCTTAAAGACAGGAGAAGGTGTTTTTTTTCTAAGCATAGGCGATTAGAAGTCAAATATAAAAATCTAATAAGCTAGTTTTTTTAATAAGTCATGGTAACATAGCTTAACATGCTGGACTTTAAACTTAATTGATGCCATTGTTACATTTTTGGTCAGAACCTTCAGGCAGTGTTTTTCAGCTATTAAGAAAGGAAAATCCTATATAGGAGAGTCTCTTTCACCTCACTGATGTGGTACACAGCTACACGATGTTGACTGCATGCCAAATAAATCACAATATAGAACAGAAAGCAAAAGTGAAGTGCTAAACAAATATATTTCCCAGCTTTGAAACACAGATATTTCATACCAGTACTTTTATAAAGGAGCATTAGAAAATAATATATCTTTTATGTTGTTTAAGAGCAGAAAGCAGGACATTACATGCTTTCTAAATATATATATATATATATATATATAACATATATATATATATATATATGAGCTATGGTTATACTCTCAGTTACAGAAACTTCGCAATTTTTATGCAACATTCTTGTTTTCTTTTTACAGAGGGAAAAATTTATAAAACTGCTGGATCAGTTGCACAATTCTTTGAGGATTGACTTGTCTAAATACAGGGTATGTCCAAAATATTCTACCTAGATCTCGATCTTTGTTTGTTTGCGTGTGTGTGTGTTTATAAACATCCATGTGTTTTTATCTTTTTAACGGAATTTGAAAGATTAATCCCTCTTGTGGTATAGAAGCTGAAAATATTGGGCTGTGTTGACAGGAGATCCCGAATCCTTGGGAACGAAAGATTTAGGATCTAAGCATTTTAGTAGCAATAATTTTCCATTTTGGACCAATCAGCCTTTTCTTTCCAAAGGCTAACAGCTAAAAACAAGCAAAAGGATGGCCAGACAATCAAGAAAAGGAATAGAAGGACTTCGATTTAATTAATCCAAAGTTTGATTAATTCGTGTGGGAATTACCTTCACTGATTTATATACTGCAAATCACAGTTCCTGCTGCATTTAGAGAGGATGGCACCTTTGCTGAGGCCTCCATGCTGTGATCCTAGAAATTTTGAGAGAGTTTTTTCAGTGTTCAGTTCTAGGAATTCTAGTTTCATTTCTGTCTTACAGAGGTTCTTTTCACTCAGATATGCTCCAAAACCAGCTTTTCTGGGAAGAAGCATGCACTGAATACCTGTCAGTTGCCTGTCAGTATCATTTTTGCTTGGCTCGTCGTATGAAAATTCCGTATGATCTGCAGGGGTATTCATAAGTCGAGGCTCCAGTAGTTAGGGTCCTCTTTCAGCTTCTAGACTTGGCAGCCTCCAGTACAGGGATTTATCTATTCACCTGACATGCTGTCTAAAGCTGAAAGAGGGAAGGAATGTTTAAAAGAACCCAAAGGCCTCTAAGGTAGTAAAAAGGACACTTTTTCAGACCAAAAGTGCACTTTTAAGACCAAAGTCTTCATGTTTCTAGATTCTTCAAATTTTAAAGGATGTTATCCAGCTTTTTTGGAGCGTGATGATATTTGGCTGCCTTTTTTTTTTTTTTTTTTTTTTTTTTTGAACCATCACTTCCAATCAGTCTTCTTGCTGACCTAGAAAAAATAGCAAAAAAATTTGTATATGAACTCTTTGCTAAGCTTACTACTGAATCTGTGCCTACAAGCGATTTATGTGCTATGGGGAATCCACAGATGATTTCCTTTTGCATCATTTCTGCAGGATTTTTGCAGTATTTTTATTCCATTACACAGTATTTAAATCATTCATATTGCAATCAGAGAGTAGGTGCTTAGAAGTGCTCTCATTCATGTCAAAGGGACACTTACTGCTAACTTGTAAGCAGAGTTGAGGCAGCAGTTGATCATTTTAATGCTTCCAAGCAGCATCTCTGTTTTCCTGAAGGTTTTTTTCCCTAGCTGTTCAAGGATCTTTATCTCCCCTTTCACATGATTCCTTTCTTTTTCATTCACTAGGATAATTTTCCTGCCAGCAATTCTGAAAGACTTCAAGATCTGAAATCAACTGTAGACCTGTTAACTAGCATCACCTTTTTTCGAATGAAGGTATTGTACTTCATTTGCACAGTCTTTTAAAAAAAACGCTGCTGTTTATTTTCCAGTAAATTCATACCCAGTTTCACATTCTTACTTGTTGCTAGCAAAAGTTGGAGATTAAGGAATGCCTTTACTAATCTAGTTTCTAAATGCAGTTCATCTGATTTAGTTTTAAATTCTATCTTTCAGTTTGTTAAAAGTTGTTTTTGAGAAATAAGTAAATGTCTTCTCCTTTTTTTGGTTTTTCCACTTCTGAATGCAACAAGAAAGTTGTCTATTTAATTAATTTAACTTCAAGACATAAAAAGCGAAATTGATTGGATCACTTTGGTTGGAACATGTATCATATAGAATGTTTTTGTAGTAATCTCATGCTATTATGTGACAAACAGCAAAATACAACATTAGGGCTACTAAAATACATTGGGTACTGCACTTGCTTTAGTCATGTGGATAGAACACGATAGATGTTATGCTTTAGAAATGACGATATCAAGGTGGTCAAGATCTGAAGTATTTTTAGAGTGTATGGTTAGTACAAATTAATATTATTGGATTGGAATAAAGAAATGTGAATGAGGTTTGCCACCGTCATTTGTGATTGCAGTGTTTTATGCACTGTATAATGAGAATAAAAATGTTTTATTAAGGTGATATGTATCATATACTGGAGTAAAAAGCTGAACTTGTTGCTTTGAAAAATGAGGAAGGAAAGCATGCAATTGTATGGTTTAATGATTCACTAAAGAGGAAAACCTAAAGGTGCATGTGTGTCTCCTTCGTCATATTAACAATTTAATACCAGTAAAATTCAGTGATACAAGTTCTTTCTTTAACTTTAGCATATGTTCTGATCACCTTTAAACTAAGACAGCTTTAAGTCAACATAATAGTTTTATCGTTATTATATTTCATCACTTTTCATCTTACGTTGGAGAACTGTATTCATTATAATACCTGCATTTATTTGTGTTCCATCTAATTCTGAGATTCTAACATTTTGTGCTTTTGTGAAATATATTATTAGGTTCTTGAGTTGCAGAGCCCACCTCGAGCTAGTACTGTGGTGAAAGATTGTGTAAGAGCCTGTTTAGACTCAACTTACAAATACATTTTTGACAATTGCTACGACCTCTACTCCCAGCTAATGGATCAGGTAAGGTTAATGTGCAATTTGCTCATTGCTTAGTCATGAGCAAGCTGTTCCTCATTCATTATTGTTAGTTTACAGTAAGTAAATACAAACTATCCTGGTGTTCCTTTATACTAAAGCACTCCAATTATTTTTGCTTTATGTAAAAATAAGCAACATATAGTAAATAAATTCACAGATGGCTACAAAAACTGAAATTATGAATTTCAGCATGAAATTCCAGCAGTAGATTGCTGTCCTATTTGTATTCTACGTGTAATACCTGTGAGAACAAATACGGTAACTAAGAAAGAAGTTGGAACCTGAGGAGTTTTCAAGAATGACAGAAAGACAAAAATATCAATATAACACATCAGATTAGTCACTGAGTGGTCAGATAATAGTTCCGTCTTGTAAAACAAAAAAGTTTCAACGCTTGTTTTTATTTCTCATCAGAGCAAAAGGGAGGCCAAGAGTTTGCTCAGACATTTGGATTGGAGTAAGGAGTTTCATGTGCAGCACTATATAGATGGTGTGTGAAAGTCAGAACACAGAAACTCAGAAGCTGGGGATTCTGTTTTGTCCTTCAGAAATATCATATGCAGGAGGGGAAGATCATTGGCAGTATTTCAGTGGTCTCTTCCTTTTCCTGCAACCACGTTCTTCAAACTCTTGTGCAAAATCAGACACTAGTAATGTGACAAAGGGATAAGTTTCACTGCAGATGAAACTGCATTTTCTATGATTCAGGATGAGTTTGGAAATCAATGGAGTGGTGAGAATTAACAGGTACACCACACCATATACAGGGAGATATTTTTATATGTATCTAGCACTTCATCTCTGCTAATTTCTGTATTTGTTACTCTTAATCTCCTTAATCTCCTTTTTCATGATTCTTTAGGTTGATGAATAATCTGCAGAAACAGGTGTTAACCCCAGAATTACTTGGACCTGGACCCCAGAATTACTTGTACTGAGATACCTTATATTTATTTTATTTTCTTCAGAAGAAAAAAGAACAAGAGTTAGGAGGAGAGTGAGTGGGTTGTGTAAAGAAAGACTAGGAATGGTAGGTGAGGGTATTTTGACACTTTTGAAACAACCTGAACTAGGTACAGGTAACAAAGCATAAGTTATTAGCTTTGACTGAGAGGGTGGATGGATGTGTAGAGCTACCCACATCCCCACATACATTTTACTTGCTCATTATGCTTCTCAAATCTCATCTTGCTTTTCGCTCTTTTCTGAGATGCCATTTTCTCTTCTTTTATGTTAATAGATTTGTAGTTTTAAAATTATTATTTTTGAAGTAGGGTTGGCCAGGAAGAATGTCCTTTGGTTGTTGTCCTTGCTTGAGAATATGTTGAGTTTGGGAGCATTAGGCTGTTAAATCTGAGTAAAGGGAGAGGTGATTAGTTGTTTAATTTTATCCAGTGCTCTTTTACTCACATCACTGCAGGTAACTCAGTGCTCACTTCCCCGGCTAGCTTTCGCCCTAAACTAAACAAGAAGTGTTTTGAGTGCCTCATATACTTGCTCATGCTCTCCAGTAGGTTATTTTGCAAACTACACAGCAGTATGAATTTGTAGAAAGAGCAACTTGAGTGTTGCGTACAATATTTGCTGTCACAAGCAGTCCTGTTTTCTTCCTAACATATACTTTGCAATAATTTGACCTTTTCTGTTAGATAATACAAACTGCTGCTAGACTGGATACCATCTAAGTCTGCAGAGTTTAACGGCAGATGCTAGCATTTTAATATGAATCAAAGCTCATTCTGGTAATCTGACTTAGGCATAGCATTATGGTACCTGTGCAGGCTTACTTGTATTTTAACACTTATTCTTTCTCTATATTGGAAAAATAGATTAGCCTCTTTATTTTGATAGATGGATTAAAATGAAGGGATATTATAGTCTTTCTGTTCTGGGAGAGAGTGTAAACAAGTTTAAAATGACATCTGTATCCAAAATAGAGTTTTGGACCAGAAGGATGGGCAAGATGTCATTACATTATTTATCTATTACACAGCTGTGTTCAAGTCCTTTTACTTCTGGTAGAACAGTGTGAAATCTCAAAATAAAAAGTTCCATGAGTATTCACTCAGCTGGAAAATTGAAATAACTGCAGCTTCACTGTATTTACTCATCTCTTCTTTCAGCAAGGATTCCAGCAGATAAGTTTCTATGCAGGAATCTTAACCAAGCAAATGTTTACAAATTATGGATTTACGAGCACGAGCAAATTAAAAAACAAAAAAGAGAGAGAGAGAAAACTTTCAGAAAGCAAACTCTAAAATTAGCATAAAGAGACCATAATCAAAATAACTCATTGTTAAACATATTCAAGTAATAATCAGTTATAATCCTTATAACCGATAGGGAAAATTTCTGTTTCACAGCTGGTGGGAGGCAGTTCTCAGGAATCTAATTTAATGACTCTAATTTGAAGAGAGATATGAGTAAGATCATTCAAATTACTACCTAGATTCTACAATTTTACATGAGCTCTAGGGTTGCACAGAAGCTGTCTTCTGTGTTCTCTCTCTCTCTTTTTTTTTTTTTAAGAGTCTAATACCAGTGTATTTGCACTTGCCTTTGCCTTTGCCATAATGGTCTGTTGGTATCTATAGCTCCGGAAGTTTTCCATTGAATCCTGGCTTGCTGCAGACTGGTTTATGTGATATCACAGTTATAATGATGAAGCAGTAACCAATACTGTTGTCAACATCTTTTATGCCTGTCCATCATAAAGACAGTCACAGTTAGAAAGCAAATACCTTGCCACAACATATCACCCCAAATGGATGACATTAATTCTTGGGGTGAAGTATGGTAAATGGCAGCATTCTGCAGCAACATCATAGCTTTTGAAGCAATAAGCTTGGCAGGTGATTGTTTTTCTCTGAAATACTATTATAACACAGCACATTAAAAAATATGAAACAAGGAATAAAGTTGTGCAGTAGTGACAGATGTCTATCTCAGGGAGTCCTATTTTTCAGGCCAAGTAATATTTGTTATGAGGAACTCTACTGTATTTCCATGTTGCTTTAGATTCACTGAAAAGCTTCTTAACTTTTCTTTAGAGCTAGCACATGAGAAGGGAACTTCCAGACCTCTCCTTAGGTTATAGAAGTGGGTATGATGGGCAGTGTGTTAGCCAGAGTAATAAAAAAAAAGTCTTTCATAAACGTATTAGAACAGTATGGTACTTTTTTTTTTCTGTGATTTTTAGAACCCAGTTCTGAGACTCCTCTGCCATAAAAGACTAATTCTTATAGATAAAATTGCTTGTCAGAAACCAGAATGACAAGTCCAGTGAATCTAGTGGCAGCAGAGATCGGAGAAAGGAGTAACAGAAGTTGTACAACTCCAACCTTGCAGTTAGGAAGGGCATAAGAAGTCAACAAATAGTCTTGTTTTGTTATCCAAAGCCTTACAAGGATGAGCATTAGAACAGCCATACCAAATCAATCAAAATATTCATCTGCTCCCATATCCTGTCTCGATTTTGACCAAAAGTAGATGCATTGAGAAACCGAGTGCAGCAGCTGGTGGAAATGGCTCATTTTGTCATATTAAGGTCATAGCTTAATATTTTATTCTAATTCCGCTCCAGTGTACTTAAGAGAAATGCTACTAATTTCAAAATGGAGTTCATTGTGTTTGATTTAGACCCATCTGGAGATGTCTGTATTCCCACTGATTTTAGTCTATGAATATTCTTTTCTAAAGCAACAGAACTACTGGTAGGTTTGGGGGATGGAAAGGGTATTATTACTTAGCCTTTAACAGGAAGGGTGTTTGTGAACTAAACAATAGTTTTCTCTCTGTTGTAACCTCATTATTCCCTATTTTCTGCTGGTACAGAGAAATGATACATGATATTTTGTTTCTCTTTCAAATATGAAAACAATTCAGGATACTAAGCAGTAGCACTGTTCACAAATAAAAGGAGATAGTGGCTCAGCAAAATTCCTCACACGCTTTGGATGCGTTTTGAGTGATTGCAAATAGCTTGTAAATAGATGGTAGAAGACGCCATTTCTATTCTTTATATGTGCTTACATACATACTTAGACACATATGTGTATGTATGTGTATATGCGTATGTGTGTAGGTATGTTTGTGTAAGTGTGTGTATATATATAAATAGGGATGTGTGTGTATATGTGTATATATATATGCAAATGTCATATTAATGTGTAAAGGTCTAAATGCTGTACATACAGTGCATATCATATATACCCCAATCATTCTCCCAAATAAATTATTGACTATAGATTTAAAACAGACGCACCACTAAAAGTAGCATTTCATTGGCTGTGGCTTTTGTGTATATAATACTACTCTGTAGCCTTGCAGTAATCAGGGCCTGACTTCCAGTCACCTTCCATTCCACCATTCTTTATATAGAAAACACGATTTTCTGAATTTTAGTGGAAAATCTGCACATTTTCCTTTCACTGATGTTTGGTCACTCCTGTGGTGGAACTACTCGCACAAATGACTTCTGAAAGCCCTCCAAATTCTGATCTGCCCTTTTACTTTTTTAAAGCCTCCTGTCTACCTAGAGGCTTTTTTGTAAAGCTTGTACAAAATCTCTCCGACTGTTCGGATTTTAAATTGAAAGACTAATTTTAACACCTCTTTTTTTAAAAAAAAAAAAAAAAGTGTTCACTGAAACTGGCCAAAGCTTGAGCTTTACCTCAGACGTGGTCTCCATGCAGACTATTGACAATGGGGTTGTCTTTACCAAAGTTGCACTCAGCATCGGGTATTGATGTCAAAATATAAAGAAATAAAAATGCAGGAAAATTCAGCTCATGGAAGAGGTTTTAGACTGCACTTACTAAATGTAAACTGACTCTATTTTCTACAACTGCATTTCAGTTAGGTTGGATGAATCATGCACTAGCTGGTGAGGAAAAATATGATGTTAGGAATAAATTTTCTTTGTTATAGAAACAAAGTATTTTGATAATGCACACCACGGAATGCTCTTGCGAGTGATGTTAATGCTCAAATATCCATTTCTGTTTTGAAAAGCTCTCTTGTTTGCATGGTGATTGTAAATTGCCTGTGATATTAGTCACACCATTTGTTACACTTCTTCTGAGCCTAACCTTTATTTCACTCACTTTAGACATTGAAGCTGTAGCTTTCGTAGTTCAGCTAGGCTATGCAACAGAGTGATTAATGATAGTTTTCTAAAATATTCTGCAGTGACCACAAAACAATTTAAATTAAGTGTTGCTGAGTTTCCCTTTCTGCTTTTCTAAATTCTGTTAATATATTAAAGTTAATTGAGGTTAAAATGACACGTAATTAATTCACTTACGAGAATAACAAAGGACTTCCAAAAGATCCAGCCTTGTTCAAGTGGTCATATTTGGACTTAAAAATAAGAAGTTCATGGTATATATGTTTAACCTTTCAGGATAATAGGGTATGCTTATTTTCTCTGAGTTGAGTCAGCTACCAATCTAGGGAAAAAACTCTGTCCATTGTGCAGGGGAGACCTAGCATGTGCAGACATACATGAGCATGACGTAAATTGTGTGTGTGTGTGTCCATACAGACATACATATACCTAGTTTTGGACAAAATCCCATTTCCCTGAACACAAAAGGAATCAGATAAAAATTGCGGTATTGTTCACAGTTGCCCTTGCAAGGCAATACCTTCCTCAGCCTCCCTTTTTGCCCCTTTTTTCTCTATGGGCATTTTTTAATTATTATTATTAATTTTTTTTTAGCTTCAAAACAAATTATATTCCAAACTTCTTTTCAATCTCAAAACAACAAATAATTTAAGTGCATATATAATTAAAGTGTGGATATGGACTAAAAGTCAAATATATTCTTTGCTGACCTCACTGTCTTTGTACTATGTTTTTGATATTCTCCAAAGTGGACTGTCATACATTCACTCTGAGTTGGATTGACTTGAGACAGTTTCTGTGCAAAATTTCTGAAAACTCTTAAGGCCTTACTCTTTCCAACTAGTTAATAATCCATAGATGGAAGTGACATAATGAAAATATTTTCTATGGTTTATTTAACCTAAAATATATTATATTATTTTTTAACAGGGTAAGAAACAAGAAGTTCCTCGAGAAGAACAGGGACCGACAACGAAGAATTTGGATTTTTGGGCACAGCTTATTACTCTAATGGTCACCATCATTGATGAAGAAAAAACAGCGTATACACCTGTCTTGAATCAGTAAGTAATTACTTAAAAAAAAAAAAAAGAATTGTGGATTTGTTAAAGCAAGGATAAAAAATACACCAGAGACAGTAATTTTGCTTTAAATGTACTCTATTTTTTTTAAATACAGACTGCAGAAGTGCCATCGTGTGATAAGGACATAGAGCTCTAATCATGGAGCATGTTGGTTTGGAACAGTAAAGATACATGTTATATGGCTGTCCCAGAAGGTTGCCTAGCAAGGTATTACGCAAGAGAAATAAATGTATAGAGAGATGGGAAGGCAGAGAAAAACATTATGGTATTAATGTATAGTATTAATATGCCCAACAGGTAGTGCACACATACAGCAGAATTTACAGAGCAGGAGCAAGCCCTCTGTAGCCCCCGGGCCGAGCCTGAGCAGCCCCCAAGGGGCACAGGAGCCAGTCTGCGAACGGGCGCGCGGTGTTCAGGGTGCTGAGACGCTCCAAACACTCTGTGTGCGTGTTCGACAGCCCAGCTGCAAAGAAACTTCGTTAATTGCTGGGATAGGAACGTCTTCCTTTGCCTAGGGCTGGACCAGAGATGTGCAGTACAATTTAGAATAAGTGCTTTTTTCTTATTTACGTTCTGCTTCATATATTGATTCTTCTTGCTTTCTTCTGAGCTGGTTCAATTTCGTTCTATTGATCAGTATATTTATACATAGTTCTTTGTTAGCGCTAGGTGGTGTAAACAGTTTCATTACATTCCTGCTTGATTAAAATCAATCGAGGAAAGAAATTTGTAAGTGGTCCCCTTTTATATGCAATTTTCCTGTTTGTGGAGATGCAGAGATGATCATGTACAAGAAACAGAAGAGTTAATTTCCTATGAAAACCCATTCGTATTCTTTTTATTAAGAAGTTCTACCAAATAGCATTGTATGGTTGACTTGCAAGTTGAGGATTAGACACTGTCATGCAAGTGAAAACGATGATTTTGACAGTAGTGTTTTGGATAAGCTCAGATTTTACAGTATTGCTCTAAGAGTGACAGAGAAATTGGGAAAATTATGTCCTGTGAGACAGAAGTAATTGTAACAAGAGGAAACAAAATGACTCACAGAGTGCTCTCCTGGTTGTCCTCTTGCTTCTCTGAAAAACGTCAAAATGTCTGGCTTTCATAAGGATTAGAATAAACCTCATATGAAGCATGTTGCATTGACGTGTTGTTTCTTAGGGATCAACTTTTGAAATTCTTTGTCGAATCAATTACTTAGCAGGTGATAAAGTACAAATAATATAGAAATCCACTTCCCTTTAACAAGGTGACTACTGTTGTTGTTATCCTTTATATTCAGCATATGTTTTTTTATTTTTCTGTTGTGTGGTAAGCCTTTTTAGATGCTCATAGGTAACAACACTGCAACAATAGTAATAATACCACTTGCGTAATATCCACAAATCTCTGATTGCTGTAGATAAGGAATCCAATATGAATTTTGGAAAGGAACTTCAGAAACGTCTTAGAAATAGGTGTTCAGTGCTCCATAAACACTACATTAAAGTGTACAAATGATGGAAAAACATTTTACTAACTGCTTAGG